TGCAGCTGCTGCAGAAGCACCAGGCCAAGGTGGATGTAGTGTTGGGAGGCGTTGCCCGGGCGTCCAAGGATACGATCTTAGACTTATTCACCAAACTCAGCAATTGCAGGTCGTGGGCCAATGGCCGAGACGTGATCGCGCTCTCCCGAGTCATTATTCAGGAGGCGTACACGAAGGGGAAGGGGCATACGGAGATAGATGATCCGGGCGAGCAGGCTCCGGATAAGGTTGTGTTCCAGGCTGACGATCTGATCTCTGTGCTGCGGCAAAAGTTAAGGAATGTCCGGGAAGAAGACGAGGGAACGAAAGGTGATGAGTCTAAGAGATAGATACCTATAGATAGATTATTGGAACGGAATCGCCCTCACCTACCTTTTCCTGGGCCGTGATACAACGGGCCAAGCCCTAGTCCGAATGGACTCTCTACCTGCTCTTGCAGCACCCTTCCGTCACAAAGGCTTGGCAACGCACAGTTCACATCAACTGAATCCGTAACACCTACAAACACGGAAGAGAGGATCGGCGAGCCACTCCATCGCGCGGAATCGCAGGGCAGGTTCGGGCCCCTAGCCGAAGATGTTGCAGTAGAACTGAAAGCGATACAATGCCCGCAGAAGTCGTGTTTTCTCGGTAGCAGATAAGCTGCCCACCCCGAGCGAAGGATTGAGCTGTTGCAGGAAAAGGGCCGCACACTGTAGCAATAGCGGTTCAGCGACAGACAGGTAGAAGGCTGCCATCTCAGCGAGGTCGGTCAGGGTGCAGTCTTGGAGGATCAGCTCGGGTGGTGCAAAGGGCCGCGAGACGTAGCTATGGATGAATTGTTCTACTGTCTCGGCGGGGAGCGGCCCAGGCGACCGAGAATAGATGGTGGAGGAACCCTGGACAGCGTAGGCCTCAGCCGTCAGGCTGCCGAGGCTGCGGAGGAGTACCCGGCCAAGAAAATGTTGCCGATCCAAACGATATTGCTGGCTAAACACGGGAGACGCGAAAACCAGCGCCCGTAGGTCGCACAGGTCGGATATGTGAGAAAGAACCTGGAGCCTCAGTTCCGCAGGCAGCGCCTCCAGCATGCTCGCGGGTGCTGCGGGTGGTGCGGGCGGCATGGCATGCGATGAGCCGCGCCGAGGTCGTTGGGACGTGCCGACGACGGCGCCGTCTGCGGCAACATCCTCGGCGTTGACCACGATGGTTTTGTCAGCGGGAGCTGGACAGGTGTTACCGGTGGCAATGGTGACTGCTGCGCCGGGCGGTTGTGGATGCAGTCGCTGGTTGGGGACGACCGCGGGTGCTGTTTTATATGCCGGGTTAACACCGACATCGGCCTGCCGTGCAGGGTAGCCATCTGTAGCCTTTACGGCCTTTGCGCGCTCGCGCAACCGTGCAAAAGCATTGAATTTTCTTAATAGCCTGAGGCTCGGCATGGGGATCCGAGTTGCTCGTGCTTCTTTCGGAGTCTTGCAAATTGAGGCGGAAAGAGGGCTCAAACGGCTGGGCGTGTGAGTGGCTGAGCTGGGTTAAAATTTGGATATATCATCAGCATGTCTCAGAAATGGCACAAATGGCATGTTTAATAGTTGCCGCTTGGAAACTGTCATTGCGTCCTGATAAATTCATCCCCCGCATCAAGCAGTTGTTGGTTTGGTTGAGAGGTATGACTCCGGCACATGCCGGAGCTGGCCCAATGGCCAATTGCGCCCGCCGAGCTGGCGGTTGGTTTCCAGTCTTTCTGACGCGCTTCTTGACTCACCCCAACTCATCCTCATTGGCGGGTGAGCAGCCATGCGCCCAACAGTGCAATAGTTCGTCCTCGCCGAGCCTTCACTTCGGCACGCCGTCGGATGTTGACCTTGCAAGCACTGCCAACTTCGTCTTGCGGCTGAGAACCCCTAACCTAATCGAGGAAATGGAAACGTGGGATTGACGCAGCCCCGACGAGCAATGGCCTCGACAAGACCGCATCGTTTTCCGGCTGCAAGCCTTTTCTCCCTCCTCTCATCGCGCGAGGACGGAACCCGGCAACACTCATTTTCGTGATGGACAGCATTGATAGGAGGGAGATCACAGAGGGTCTGGTTGTACTCCGCAGCTCAGAAAAACCAGAGACAGAGTGGGCTTCCGTTTTGTTGATTGTTTCCCCCAAACTCAATCAGGTACCTAGCACCCCTTACGAGGCAATCGCTAATGATTTTTTCGCTGCAGTATCGTCTTCATTCACGGTTTAGGTGGCCATCCTTACAAGACTTGGGCGTGCCCTAGGCGAAAGAATATCCCCACCAGCTTTCCACGCAATACGAACCAGTCCTCACCTGACGGACGAGGATTTTTCCCTCGTTTATTCTCCAAGATCGGATGTTGTGATGGGGGCGGGGATGAGGATAGGGATGGAGATGGGGCCACTGCTCTCGAGGACAAGCCGCCTAGGCGCGTTGCATCCGACGATAGTCCTCCCGACAGAAGGAGAGTGGATGGAGACGTCTACTGGCCATACGACCTTCTGGCGGGCGAAGACCACTGTCGCAACGTGAGAATTCTCACATACGGCTATGACTCCAAGGTTACGAAAGGGCTCAACAGCACTAACCAGAACAACCTCTTCGCGCACGCCAAGGACCTGCTCTACGCGCTCCAGCGGGAAAAACCTGCGAGAAGGTCGGTGATTTTTGTGGCCCACTCGCTGGGCGGTCTGCTTGTCAAGGAAGCACTTCGACGGTCCGAGTCTTCGGAGGAGGCAGAGTTCAAGGACATTGTCAAATCTACCAAAGGGGTCATCTTTCTCGGCACACCACATAGGGGCAGCCCAGGAATGGCCGATCTTGGCCAGACAGTTCGAAGCATCGCCAGTACCATCCTCAGGGTGGACTCAAATGCCGTCCTTCTCCGAACTCTCGGGACAGACAGCCCAGAGTTAGAACTTGGGAGAGAGTCTTTCACGACGCTCTGGCGAAAATATGGCTTCCGCGTCAAGACCTTTCAGGAGGCGTGGGGCCTCTCCGGTATCAACGCCGGGCCCCTGAATAACAAGGTTGTCCCAGACACATCCTCCACCCTTGACGATCCTAGAGAGCATGCCGAGACAATCTCGGCAAACCACATGAACATGTGCAGATTTGAGACAAGACTTGACGCCGGGTATCGGAAGATTTCACTCGAGATCGGATCAATGATAGCGTTAGGAATGATTGGTAAGCTAACACCACAACCACGCAGAGTCTCCGCTTAGTAGTGTACATGTACATTAAATTGACCGTGGTGATTCTAGCTCCCTATATCAGTAAGGATGGGCGAGGTATGGCAGCATGTTCAACAATGGACCGTACCCCGGTTTCTAACCATGGTTAAAGCCTTCCTGGAATCTCTGGCTTTCGCCGAGATGGACAACAGACTCGGCAACATCCAAAGAGCTCTGGATGACACTTGCGACTGGCTGTACTCGACCACCGAATACAATGCCTGGATCAACAATACCGACGTCGCCAAGGTCCACGGCCTGCTTTGGATCAAGGGAAAGCCTGGCTCTGGAAAATCGACTCTGATGAAAGACGCCGTGCGTCGAGTCAAGCTTCTGTACGAGGGCACCCAAACCACCACCGCCGCTTTCTTCTTCAACGCACGGGGAACAGGAGACCTTGAGAAGACACCTTTTGGTCTCTATCGGTCTCTGCTGTACCAGGTCCTTTGCCAGGACTCGTTGGCCCTCGATCATTTGTGCCCGGTGTTCAGACAGAAGGCTATGTTCCATCCGATTGTGACATGGCATCAAGAAGAACTACGAGATCTGTTGTCACGCGTCTTTGCAACCTGCGAGTCAAGGCCGGCTATTGTCTTTATTGACGCCATGGACGAGTGTAACGACGACGAAGTCAGAGACCTGATTCGTTTCTTCAAACATCTCGGCAATAAGGCTTACAATGCCGGCGCCGACCTCAAGATTTGCTTCTCCAGCCGTCATTATCCTCACATATCCATCAATGGGTGCCCCGAGATTGTCGTCGAGGACAATAATCGCACCGACATCTTACGCTACATCGTTGCAGAGGCCGAAGACAACCGCTCCATTGCGGATCTCAAGGACGAGATTTTCGAAAGATCTTGTGGCGTTTTCCTTTGGGTAGTCCTCGCCATTGCCATGCTGGGACAGCATGGCCGGGGCAAGTCATTGAAACTGCTTCAGCAGAAGTTGCGAGAAATACCCCCGGTGCTTAGCACACTTTTCCGAACACTCTTTTCGAACCAGGATCCCGCCGAAGCCGAACGCGCAGTCCGCCTCATACAGCTGATCCTGTTCAGTATGCAGCCCCTGACCCAAAACCAAATCCATCAGGCTTTGGCATTTGGGGGGACTCGCTACGGCTCCCTCGCAACATGGAAAGACTCGGTGGAATATCTCGAGACCCGTGTAAAGATACACGAAATGATCATTGACCTCTCCAAGGGCCTTTTGGAACAAACTCCGAGCAGCGCAAGCCAAGATCCGACTTACCAGTTCATCCATGAGACTGTACGGGAATTCTTTCTCCACGGCAACGGCTTCAGCTTGCTCTATTTTAGTTCGACGTCCATTGTCGGGAGCGGCCATTCTATGATGGCCACTTGCTTTGCAAATTATCTCGAGGTCCAAGAATTACGACCTGCCACCGCAGGTAAATGCGAGCTTCCAGCGAACGACCCCGACCTCGCACTGCTCGCTTACATATGTGTGCGCATTTTTGATCACATCGAGGCAGCGGAGGAGCAAGGGATATCGCAGGAAGGCGTTCTGCGCCGTCTCAGCGATGACACGTGCGAACTGCTACGACGGCTGGCGGCATCGCCATTTACAACGCGTTACCAACCCGGATCAACTATTCTCGTGGCAGCCATCGACTTTGGGGTCATTAAGACAGCAAACCGGATCCTGAGGATGGGCTTTTCGGTCAACCAGCAAACCGCAACACCGCTAGGGTACGCTTTACATACCGCGCTCAGCGGTCGCCGGCGAATTACCGAGACCGCACATGTATATCGCGGATCTACCCAGCTGCAGATGGTTGATTTGCTACTTCAGAATGGAGCCGACGTTTCCTTGAAGAACCAGTTCGGCCAAAGAGCGCTGCACATCGCCGCCACCAGACGCCCCGAAGTTGTATTAGCCATCTTGGACAAAAAGCCGAACGTCAACCCACAGGATGTCGACGGGGAGACACCACTCCACCGAGCCATTCATAGCGCACACTATTACCTGCGGATTGTCGAGATTCTCCTTGCACACGGCGCCCGTGTGGACATTCGCAATCGTCGAGGCGAGACCCCTTTGGATGTTTCCCGGAGCAGGGTAGCTTTCGGCGATATAAGCAAAGATGATGGGCTAGTCACGAAGCTGATGGAGGAGCATGCAGGGAAGGCAAGATGCGGTATTTGAGCGGCTGCCTCGTCAGCTTTCTCAGTCTTCCAGGTGCATACTTAAGTGCATGTGCCTGACGCAGTTTCAGGATTCTGAGAGAGAAGTAAAGGGAACCAAGAAAAAAGGAAAATGTAAGGGCCGAGGAAGGGGGATCAAATAAAAGAAAGACTTCGGGCTTCCAAGCTTCCAAATGGCTTTCTTTCCGTTCTTCTGATCGAAAACTTTTCCAGTTCTTGCCCAGAGATTAATAACTAGTGCCTCGGTTGCTTCTTTGTTTTCTTGCCGTCGCACGTTGGCGCTGATTGGGGAATTAACTAGGTGATCTTTTCCCAACCAAGAATCAATTCATTGTGGCGTCATCTCCTTTTTTATCAGGGCGGTGGTTACACAATACCGTTACGGATACGTAAGGTTTAGTTGGTAAGGTAGTTGTCCTTATCATTTGAAGCGCGGGTGGTGTTGACGTTACGCCCTACCGTATGGCAGTGCGTTTTCGTCTGTTGTTGTGTTGAGGAAGCCGATAACTCCGACTCGGACTTTGTTCTGGAAACAAGAGAAAGGGGTTTCATCAAGGGGCCTCGGCAGGGTTCATTGCGCAAAGGGGGGATGACTCAGCGTGCCGAGACGCTAAAACAGTGTGGCCCGACACGGAAACGGACTGTTCCGCTGAGGGAAAGACGAACCACAGCGCGCCATTGTCTGGCCACTGCAATTTTATCCGAGTGGGGAGAATAATAACCGAAGGGTGGAGTTTTTTCTTCTTGAGCGCGTTGAAGTGCCCTGAAATTGAAATCTCGATCGGGAACTCAACCTCCAACGTTCACGCTCAACCACAGCTCAAACAGGCTCACCGCTCTCAAGATGGACGTCGCCCTCGAGATACTCGACCCGTTGGTCTTTGACAAGGCCTACGCCTACTTCAACCCTGCCAAGATAGCGCCGCTCAATGGTTCGGCGCACTCGGCATCAATAGGATACGGCGACTTCGCCTCGGGATTGTCCGATGCATCCGCCAGTCATGGCTCTGCATGGGCGCGCGACAACATTGTGCGCCAATGCATCTCTATCCTAATCATCACCCAGATCGGCGCGACGTCTCTGTACTGGATTTTCAGCGCGCTATCCTACTATTTCATTTTCGACCGCCGGCTAGAATACCACCCGCGCTTCCTCAAAAACCAGATCCGCCAGGAGATCATCTCATCCATGAACGCGGTGCCTTTCATCAACATCTTGACGCTTCCATTCTTTCTGGCTGAGGTGCGCGGCAAGAGCATGCTATACACCGATGTGAGCGATTTTGGCTGGTCATGGCTGCTCATCTCCACCGTGCTGTTCATGGTCTGGAACGACTTCATGATCTACTGGATTCACCGGCTTGAGCACCACCCCAGCATTTACAAGTACATCCACAAGCCTCACCACAAGTGGATTGGTGAGTTTGGCCCTTGCATCTCATGGCTAGGTACCTATGAATGAGCCAATCACTCACCAACCGTTACAGTACCAACACCATGGGCCGCCCTCGCCTTCCACCCGCTAGACGGCTACGTCCAGTCCCTGCCGTACCAGTAAGCCCTCGCAACTTTTTCACCCACACACCCAACCCATACTAACCAACCCCCGCAGCGTCTTCGTCTTCATCTGTCCCGTGCAAAAGTATCTCTACTTCTTTCTGTTCGGGCTCGTGCAGATCTGGACGATCCTGATCCACGACGGCGACATGATCTCGGGCCACTGGCTCGAGAAGTTCATCAACAGCCCGGCCCACCACACCCTGCACCACATGTACTTCACCGTCAACTACGGCCAGTACTTCACCTGGGCTGACAGCTACTTCGACTCCCACCGGGCACCCCAGCCCGAGCTCGACCCCCTGCACGACGCCCTGCGCGTCATGCGCGAGAAGGGCCTCGTCGACGAGAAGGGCGAGCCCATTCCCCAGCCGAAGAAGGGGAAGAAGGGCGCGAAGAGTGAATGAGTGAGGGAAGCGGAGGGGGGTCTACGGTGTCCTATCCGGCCCCGGCAGGGGAATGCCGCCCCCGCAGAGAGATGGCGGGGGGGGGCTGGGAGATTGGAGTATGTAGCTCGGACGGCTATTTCGTTTTGAGGGCGGCGCTTGGGCATGTGTTGGGATTGGTTATCATGTTGGTTACGAGCCGTCGATGGATGAGTTGGGCATGGGTACAAGCAAGCCTGATTTGGGTTTGGGTTTTTCAAAAAGAGCATCCTCGAGCGGAATGCTGCGCGTCGCAGAATCGGCCCCTTCTTAATGTATAATTAGAGCTTTAATTCAACGACACCGTTATGACGATCCCTTGGCGAGCCCGATGGTATGGGCGGGGGGCGCTCTACCGTATCCTCTGAGACCTCCTCCCGGACAGCGGGGTTGCAATGTTTATAGAGGGAGTACTTACCTCGTAGAGACTCCATTCTCATTGCGGAGCAGCCCCCTCAACAACGCCTTTGGGACGCAGATAAGCGAGCCCTAAAGCAGCGATCTGAACCCCCACTGACTAGCGATGCATGGGAATCCTCCAGCTTCTCGATACCCCCTTGGCGGCAAGTCGGATTCGTGCGTTTCGGTGCTCAGTAAGGCGGAGGATGCAGTTGACGACATCTCGGACCTGTACCATCCGCATTTGCCTAGTCGGAAAGCCGGTATTCCCGGACGTCCCGGCCCCTTTCCCGTCTACCAGGTCGGGGGTACAAAACAAGAAAGCCAAGCAAGGCGCGATGGCTGACTGAGCAGGCAAGGCCGGGCATGGTCCGAGTTAGCAATGAGTCCAAAACAGGGGCAAGGGCCGACGCGCCAGCATCCACCCTCCTTTTGAGAAGTGCGCCCGGAGCATGATTGGCGGCGGCCGGTCCGCCCCGACGGGGGTTCCTGCATGGGCTCGGCGGAGATGGTGGCGGCGTTTAACCTTGGCTGGCCCCTCTGCAACTCAGGCTGATATGCCGCAATAAACTGGGCAGGCCCCAAACCTGCGGATCATCCTCTGCCAGGTGCAGAGGTTGTATCTTGAATCCAACGGAGAACCCTTGTCGATTATTTACTGCAATCTGGGGTTGTATCCGGGGTATCGGCTACGCAAAGGATCCAAACAGCAAGCAACGTAAGACCGGCCTCTTTACCAGGGTCCCGAAGAGGCCAGAATGGAGTATAAAACCCATCCCGGGGGCCGCGAGGGCGGGGAAGGTAAGCCTGGGTATCCTGGTCCCGACAACGTCTTTTCCACGAGAAAATGAAGTTCTCACTCCCCTTTCTCGTAGCCGCCGTCGAGGCCGCCGTCATCGGCCGCAGCTGTGAGGGCCCGAAGCCTGACGAGGATGGCCGCTACACCATCTCTTCGGATGGCATCAAGGCGCAGGTACGTGTCTGAGGGGCACGGAGGGGAGCGGGGAAGCCATCGAACTCCAGTCCGCTGACAGGCGCAGTTCATCCCGTACGGCGCCACCTTGACGAACCTGTTCGTCAAGGACAAGAACGGCGAGGACATCGACGTGGTGCTTGGCTACGACGATGTTGAATACTACCGTTAGTTTGTCTCAATCTCAAAATCAAACGCAGCACGAGCCTAACATGCCATGTAGCCGTGGACCCCGGCCACCCGGTGTACAACGCCATCCCCGGTCGGTACGCCAACCGCATCGGCAACGGCAAGTACACGCTTGACGGCGTCGAGTACGAGACGGAGCAGAACGACGGCAACAACACGCTGCACAGCGGCACCAACAACTGGTCGTACCGCGTGTGGAACGTGACCGACTTCAAGGCCGACTCCATCACCTTCTCCATCCTAGACCCCTCCAACTCGTCCCAGGGCATGCCCGGCGACGTCAAGGCGTCCGTCACCTACTCGGTCAAGGGCTCGACCTGGAACATCAAGATGACGGCTGAGTCGCTTGAGCAGAAGACCCGTCAGTGACCCCATCCACCCCCTCCTGTATATCACCCACCCCCCTCCCTAACACCAAACCAAACACAGCCCTCCTCCTCACCCAGCACACCTACTTCAACCTGGACGCCTTCCGCAACCCCGACACCTCTAAGATCTGGGACCACACCCTGTACGCCCCCTACTCCAAACGCTACCTGGAAGCCGACCAAGCCGCGCTTCCCACGGGCGAGATCCTGACGGCGGCGCCCAACTCGATCAACGACTTCGCGTCGGCGCCGGGGCTCACCGTCGGGCACGCGCGCGACCAGCCCGGCTTCGAGGGCAACTGCGGGGCCGACGGCGCCTGCGAGGGCTACAACGGCTACTGGCTGATTGAGGACGCGCCCAAGGACGCGGTGGTGGTGACGCTGGCCAGCAAGTTCTCGGGCGTCAAGGCCGAGCTGCGCACCGATCAGCCCGGTGTGGTGCTCTACTCGTGCAACTGGATGGACGGCTCGGCCGATCTCAAGAGCACCCAGGGCATTGAGGGCGTCAATGAGAAGGTCATTCGCAGCAGCTGCATTGCCATTGAGGCGCAGGATTACCCGGATGGTATCAACCAGTGAGTCTTTTTCCTTTCTTTTTCCTTTTCCTGGCTTTTGGCGGGTAGAAACTGACAGCTGATGATCCAATAGCCCTGAGTGGGAGCGCACCGATGCGCAGATCTGGGGACCTGGAGAGACGTACAACTGGGAGAGCTCGTGGACCTTTGGCCTGGTTTAAAGAGAGGTCCTACCAAGGTATCTTGGGTACACCAGGAAGTTTGAGACGGTTGAAATCGGTTGGTGTGGTGCTTTAAGCCAAAAGCCAAAGTTGCAAAACCACCGAGACAGAGAATCAGTTCACACCAGACTTCACAGTGATTTGACACTGCTACCTTGTGTTGAATTCTCGGAGCCTTGCTATCCCACAAACACATGGAAAATGATTAAATCTTCTCGTGCCTTCCTGCCATGTATTCCCGGGTGATAATAGGTACATGTTAATTGTGTGATCTGTAATGCTCTGCACGGCCAGTCTTCCAACTTCCAAGCACAACTCCAGTCCCCAACCATCAACTTCCCATCCCACAACCACACTACCTAGATTACCTCTAGCAAACTTCAAATTTGTCTTCCAACCTACCAGTCCAGTATAACATTGTTCGCTGTTCACTGTTCACTGCCATCATTCCATCATGACTGCTCCACTCCGCATCATAGTTCGGAGTTGGGACAACATTTCTGGTGGATGGTTATGTCGCCGAGAGGGAGTTAACTGAGGAACAGGTAATTAATTGCCTTGTGTGCCTTGTTATAACTTATCGCCCAAGCTAACATGCTTGTGTGTGTCAGGTAATGATCAGGACTAATACCCGAATCGTCTTGATCAACGCCGGTGTCACCAGCCATGAACTCCGGGCTTGGATCAAGCATTGTATATGTCAAGAGAACAAAGATTGTTAGGTCTGTCGCAAACAAAACAACTGTTATAGCCTTCACTCGCCAGTTGCTCCCATAGGTGTGGCCCTGCCGGACGCCTGGTTCGACCCAGCCTCGTCCTGGGGACAGACGGAGTGAACTGGCCAAGGAAGGGACGACAATGGGGCATTTGAGGAACATTAGAAGACAACCGGCATGGTGGTGGATTGTTGCTGCTCGAGGTTGGCAGCACTTGCGCCTATTAACCACCTTACCTGCCTCGGCAAGCATAGTCCACATCTGTACCTTCTACGGATGACAATCCACACATTCCAGGTTCGGTTTCCCAAGGACCGAACTGGCAGGAATGTGCCATGGAGGCCATATTGCTTGCCGATTTCTCTCAGCAACTACCAAGAAGTGAAAGTGTCACCGCCGCGTGCCCAGATATGTGGCGCGCAGGCTTCTCGATTCGTCTTTGGATTTGGCACCTCGGCATCATTGCTCCGCGCCAATCACATATCCAGCATTATTTTATTTTGACACCTCGAACCATCTTCAGCCTCTCTCCTCCAAAAGCCACAAAGCCACTATGTCCTACAGCAATGCCACGATAGCCACCTTGGAGTGTTGGTTTTCGTCATTCATTGCTCGTGAGCGGCGAACTTGGCAGCAGCAAAAAAAGCCACAGAACTCGTTGCAGGTGACCTTGAAACCTCACCTTTGATGTTTCTTTAATACTTGGTTAACACAACCATACCCAGAATCTTGTAGAAGCCGTATTTCGCCACTTATTCTCCTCTGGCTTGCCGGATGAAGAGGTTACTAGGATGATACACAGAGGTGTGTTTCAGGCGCGCTCCATTTCTTTTGAGATAGCACACCTAACGAGCAAGCAACCCTCAGGTTTGGAAGCAGTTAGGAAGGAATTGGAGACTGTCCTGCCACCATCTAACTTCCACGGGACCCCAAATCCCTTCATGATACGAGGAAGCATACGCACTGTTGACGCACACAGCGCCCCAAATCCTATCGGGACAATAGAAGGGAGCACAAGCGGTGGTTTTACTCCATCCAAGCCAACGATAGTATGGCCAAGAGCCTTGCCGATCCCCCGTACATCTCGCAAAGATCGAATGTCTCTCTTCTACCAGCTCTACGCCCATCGTCCCCGGGCACATCCGGACACACATACACAAGTGCGTGGTTCCTTGTGAATCTGCTTGATATGTGTATGCGTAACTCTGCCGCTAACTTGATTCCCAGGCGGGGGCTCTGAGAACCCTCATAGAAGGGACTCTGTGCTGGGCCCTTCTCGGAACGCAAGCATCCAGAAGCGCTCTAATAGCATTCGCAGCCCCCTCCCCCTTCACCAACCCATCCCCACACAGCCCATGATGCATTCGCATATTCTAAATTCACTCGAGAAGGAAGCTGAGAAACCGGAGTCGGATAAGGAGGCCGGGAAACTGGAGTCGGAGAAGGAAGCTGAAAACCTGGAATCGGAGAAGGAGGCCGAGAAGCTGGAGTCAGAGCAGAACCGTGCCCAGGAGTAGGAGAGGGTTGAGACTTTCTGGGAATAGGGCGAGGTCGTAGATGAAGGAGGAATTTCGAGACGAGACAGGAAATCAGTTTGTGTTATGGGGATATCTTATAGTAGTTAGCCGTAGACTTAAATTGTTTGCCGAGCAGCGACTTATATACCTACCTAGGTACAGCATCCCCCAACCACAGCCTGATATTGAAATAGATGAACAATATTTGGTAAGTTGAACAGTGCTCAGTGTCTCCAAAACCTTGAGTTCAACACACTACCTACCTACCTATACAACAACGTGTCGTTCTTCACACATTGTTTCAGTGGGAGCCAATCCTGTCCTGTGCTTCGACATGGCAAGCTATCAAAGAGATTCCCTGTGATAGGGAGAGTATTCAGACGGAAATGTATTCACTGTTATAGCATCGTGTGAGTGAGTTGTTGTGTGCTAGAGTTCACACGGTCCGATACTTTAAATTCATTGCCTCTTTCCTCTTTTCCTTCACTCGCGGCTTCCCACCAGAATTTTCAGAGCACACACCTTTCCTCCACTCTTCATTAAGTCCACCGAGCAACTCAATCAAGCAGCCTCACCGCAAGTATCTCTTCTATCAGCCATTGTCTATTCCAGGCCTCGACTATTAATACCAATCTCCAACCGCCTTGGAGAACAAACACTGTCGATACCCTAAGGCATCTTTTCCAACCCAAAACTCCCCAATGTCTGGCAACCAGGGTAATTCCGCGTCGCAGACCGGCGGCGACCAGGTAGCATTTGACGGTCAGGTAGGTCGCCGTGTTCCTTATGTCCCGGATCCCATCTTTCCCTCGTGGCGGGTGCTGACACTCAAGCGCGCACCCCAGACCACCGTCACTCTTATCATCCAAACACTCCTACAGGCCGGAATGACACCACAAGAGATCGCCGCCGCCTTCGAGACAGGTAAGCATTTTTCCTTTTCTCCCCCTCCGACGGATTCTCGGGAACCAAGCTATATGCACATATACCCGAGCCACCCTCAAACTCCCCAATCTTCCCTCGCCGCGACGGAGACTCGGGCTGCCCAGGCAACCCATTGTCAGGGACATGGAACTCGGCCACCGCCATTCGCCACCGCCATTCGAGCTGACAACCCTCTCATCGCCACCCCTTCACCCTCATTGAGCCCACCCATCAGGGTGGTTGTGGGTAGGTGATTTGGCGGGCCTTGTCAGCTCCGGTGGCGCGCCATGGAGACACTCCGACCCCGAGCCCGAGAATCTCGCCAAACCCCCTCCGATCAAGAGACCAAATCGGCCAGGCCGATTGGGATACAGGTTGACCCAACCACAACTACAACAAAACCCATCCCCCTGCCACCCTCCCAAAACAAGCCAGCTAACTTGAACCCCCCAACCAATCCAGCCTTCACAACACACCTGAACACCAACATCGTCCCACTCTTCCCCACCTGCCACGTCCTCCTCATCCAGCTGCAGGGCCAGATCGCCGCCCTGCGCACGCAGGTGGAAATCCTCCAGGAGGCGAATACGTCGCTGCAGAATCGGTTTGTGGCGCGCGGCGACCGGCTGATGGTGCTGCTAAGCCAGATGCAGGATTTGCGCGCGCAGGTGGCGGCGGCCACCGCGGCGGGGTGGGTGCCGGTGGTTGGGAATGGTGGAGATGAAGAGAGTTTTGATGAGGAAGAGATGGATGAGGATGATGAGACGGACGAGGATGATGGGACGGACAACCCCCATCAGACGGACAATGGTGATGGGATGGACAGGGAGAATGGGATGGATGGTGGGAATGAGACCGACGGAGAGGATGAGATGGAGGAGAATGGCGGGGCTAGGCTGAATGGAAATTAAGAAAGAGGATGTAGCTCTCTACGAGCCCGACTATCATTGACTGCGCGGCGCTCCCCCCGAGAGTGTCGCCCTGCAGCTCCAGCTGTCTGGGGTGATGAGCAATGCCATATGGAACTCCCGACTTCGGGAACTGTCACAGGCAGAGCTGCGACATGTAGCTTTAGGGTTAGGGTTGTTCCGCGCACGGGGCATGTGGGCGATTGGCATGTGGGGCTCCGCAGACCCGTAGTGGGCACAGACCTGTGAGAGATGAGCGGAAGGGGTTGCGAGGCTCAAAGGCACTGCCAGTACCACTCTATTCCGTTAATCGAAAGCTGAAGAAAGAGAGGAAAGATACAAGATAGCGCGTTGGCAACGCGAGAAAGCATGCCCAGAACGGAGCTAGTCCGGATGCGGAAGTGCACCTCCAACCCCAACCCTGGGTGCGCTTTCCGTCACAAGACCCACATTGGCGCAGGGTATATCCCATACCCTGCGCAGCCACCCACTCTTGCACTCTTGTGCAACCTTGTTGATAGGAACCATAACAGGAACCTTCACCAGCTGACCTTGTACGATCGTTGGAAATCGCTTGAAACATCCATCCTTCCCCGCACACTCTTGGCACTTGGCTCGACGCAGCGGTGGAAGATGTTTCCGAACCTGTGAAAGACACAGGCACGAAAAGATCTGTGTATTCTTGTGGAAAACTGGTCTGACAAACTAATTAAGTGGAAGAACTGGTGGCACTGCGTGGGGTCTTACCCACGCAGGGTCAGTGGTGTGTGCGCAGTCTGTAAGAAGTGGGCCCGGGACCCCGGCCCGGGACCGCAACAGAACCTCAAGAGTATGCATTTCGACATAACTAGGCGACACTAGATAGTTACACAGTATAGGAAACTCTCCTTGGATAGGGGGGAGAGGTTGCCTTAGCTTCAGACCTCTTTTTTGGGTGGTGCAGTTCGTGTCTGTGGTACTGGTGGGGCGCATGTGGAGATAAATTTGATTTATCAATAAATTATTTACGCTAGCTATCTTGGGCATGTGGCCCACTTTTATTCACCCAAGAGGTCTGAGGGCAAACCGCAGGTGGTGCCAGGACCCCCATAACAGCTCCCATAACAAGCGAGGGAATCAGTGGAACACTTTCTTTTCCGATGCGTGAAATGGACAGCTCTGAGGGAAGACATGCTGCAATGCACAGTGGCAAGACGAGGAAGCCTCTCGTTCTATCTGGGAGGGAAAGCGCCATCAGATACAAGGCATTGGTCACCAGATATGAAGGCAGTCCGGGCGACGATCAAATACGCAATGGCAACAGGAAGGCTGGAGCTGAATGAGGAGGAGAGTCTAGACCAGTCACAGTAGAAGAAGCCGACACTCAACACCACGAGCCTCAACCACGAGCCTTAACCAGCAGGTCCCGCTTTAGCTGCTGAAGATAGGACGCTGAACACTTGGAGAAAGTAGCCTCCAAGCTGATCTGCTAACAACAACCAAGGCAAGAGGTAAATGGTGCAGCGAGAAAGAGGGAAGAAGTAGGGGGCTTGTACGAGTTAAAGGCAAACCGATTTGATCCGGATGTAGTTAGCGTGCTAAGGCCCTATAGGCCCAGTGCCTCCGGGCGAAATAAATTCCATCCATCCATCCATCCATACAGCTCCCATACAAACGGCATGCAGTCACTTCAGTCACTCGCGAATGTTTCTACACCACAACATCGTGTGATAATAAGAAGTACCTCCTGAGGTAGCTCTGTGGGAGCTGAATAAAATGATGTTATTTTGATAGCCATATTCCAGCTGCGTTGCTAAATCGTAAGCTTAAAGCTGAATCTTTGACCCCCATAACAGTCTTGACGCGCTCGATGACCCCCCATTAACTTCCACATAACGCGTTCAAATTTTACGAAATTTGGCACTGATATTGTGGCCATTCACATCAAACTCAGCAGTTGGCTTTCCCTCCATTTTACAAACAATGGGTTACCCCATCGGTGCCAGCGCATCAGAATGGATCAAAATGACTATTTAGACGATGTTGTCGAGACCCTCAGCGTCATCACAGGCGCTCAGCGGCCCCGGATCGGTCAGGTCGACGCGGTGAAGCGCTTGGTTTATGATGGGACCGATACCGTGTTGATCGCGGCGACCGGTTACGGCAAGAGCGCCGTTTTATACGCGTTTTCGGCTTTGACGAGCAAGATTACGGTTCAGATCGTGCCGTTAACAAAGCTGGGAGAGAACCAATACAAAGAAATTGCAAAAAAGGTGCCGAACTCGAAGCCGGTATGGATTGATGGCGATACCTAACTACACCCATATTCTTCTGAGTCCAGAGCAAGCCGTACTAAGAGACCCGGACTTCCATAAGCGCATCGGTCCATTCGCCATCGACGAGCTTCATCTGGTTGGAGAGTGGCGGGAGTTTCGCAAGGAATTCACATATCTATACAGTTGAGGTCTCTGTTGCCACGGCGTCTCCGCTGGTTTGGTTGTACGGCTACACTGGACCGTGTTAACCAAGATTTTATCCTCAAGCATGCGGGCTTCGACTTGGACAATCTCGCCGTTGTTCGGACCTCTGTTGACAGACCAGAGATCTCGCTCGTCATTCAGCCGCTCATGCGCGGTTATATGAAGGACTACCGTCGCTTGCATTTTCTCCTCGAGGCCGCTACCCCCACTACAGTCGCCTCTATACCCAAGACGATCATATACGTCGACAGCAAACCGCAGTTGATCAAAGCCCGCTGGACGCTCCTCAAGCATTTGCGCGGCGCTTGTGGCTTCTCCAAACTTGTCACGGAATGACCCCGAGGTGGCCAGGGCGGCCACAGCCGACAGCGCAGGACGCCGGCAGCCAATCGCTTAAGGACCAATAAGAACTGGATTATCACTAGTTGTCAGTGATAATGGACGATTATCACTGGTTGTCAATGTGTCACGGTTATGGTCGCGTACCACGCCCCGATGAGGGCACGCGCGGGAAGCGTTCCCAGCCAATCATTAAGAATGGGTCTCAGACCAATCAGCAGAGGAACGAAGGGAACGGCTACCGTTCCCAGGATCCAGTCTGGAACGAGAGGAACGATCACCGTTCCTCACGTTCCCAGCAAAAGGTACGCCGGTACCTAGGAAGCCTAGATAGTATATAGTCACCCGTTCTGGAGAGCTCTGGGAGTTCTCCAGTTAGCAATCACAACTACAGTTCGCTACAAGCTCGAAAGCCTACTGTTGAGACAAGTCTTTGTTGTGCACCCTTTGGCTGCACCGAACCTAAGCACCCTTGAGAGATTACCTTCAACCGAAGCTGAACCCTAACAGGACAGGGTCCTGAAGTAGGTTCGTCACACAATGATAATGGGCGATTATCACCAACAGAGTGGTGATACTAGATAGTATATAGTCACTCGTACTGGAGAGCTCTGGGAGTTCTCCAGTTAGCAATCACAACTACAGTTCGCTACAAGCTCGAAAGCCTACTGTTGAGACAAGTCTTTGTTGTGCACCCTTTGGCTGCACCGAACCTAAGCACCCTTGAGAGATTACCTTCAACCGAAGCTGAACCCTAACAGGACAGGGTCCTGAAGTAGGTTCGTCACAAAACTCTATTCTCGGAAGGTTATACGTCGTTACGATGCTGACGTCAGGGATGCCGACAAAGATCTCATCTTCAGCGACTTTGCGAACGAGCATACCGACTGTCGAATCGTATTTGTCACAGTCTCATTGGGCATGGGGATGGATCTTCCTGACGTTGTTCGCGTCGTACAGTTCGGTTTGCCACCCGGCGCCAGCCTCTCTGACTCGTGGCAGCGCATTAGAAGAGCGATGCGTGATAAGCGGATGGTTGGCCAGAAACAGGGTACGGCAATTCTGTTTGTACCATACTGGGCGTTCGACTTCCTAGGAATGAAGGGCCGCGGGTAATCGGTAATATCGCTGCGGACAGGGTGTGCGGTGAACTCGGACCTGCAGACCACGCCGTTGCGTGTCAATGGCGATAGTGATCGCGATTGAGGTCGGTCAGGTGATGGTCGCCCGCCCCGCCGCTCTCTCGTGGAGGGGCAACCAGACGGTCCTCCCTTCTCCAGCGCCTATGTTCCTCTCGCGACGAGAATCGTTACGAGCCGTGCTGCGCTACCGCATTTATCGTCGTCGTCGTCTTGGGTAGAGATCTGATTTGGGCGATGAGGGAGGAGAAGGAAGAACAACGAAGACGTGACGAAGTCCACCAGAGGCGTGAGACTCAAAGAACGCGACACATTTATCCAGAGCCTCATTGAACAAGTTCAAGAGGCAAGGAACAACCCAAGCCTCAACACCACGTAGATTATCAAGATTACCCTATTATGAAGAAGGCAGGGAGGGGGGGACGAAAACAGAGGCATCTTCGAACGGCAGTGTTGCTTGAAGTTAAGACCGACAGCGCCGCATGAGACGTACACAGGAGACGTGGCAGGTTCAACTTGACGGGATTAAAACCGATATAGTTGCTGGTCTTCTGGATAAGAAACAACTGACATTTAGCTGGAAATAAAGCAGATTGCCATTGCTAACAAATACCGGGAGGGAGTAGTGCTTGATGATAATCATCAAGGTGGTGTTAATTTGGCTGATGAAGGAGTCTGCCAGGTTCCTGGGAGTCTGGCTGGACCGGAAGCTCAACTGGAAAGCCCACCTTACAGCGGTGGAGAGGAAGCTGAGGACCCAGAGCTATGCCCTGTCGAGGCTAGCGGCGTCGACGTGGGGACTGGGGCTAGCCAAAGCGCGAGAAGTGTACACAAAGTGCATCCGGTCAGCGCTGGCCTATGGCGCATCGTCGTTCCACATCCCCACGGATGTGGGAGGCGAGCCGGTAAAGAAAAGCATCACCAAGGCCCTCGGGAAGGCCCAGAACAAAGGCTTGCGGATTGTAGCGGGAGCCTTCAAGCACACTCCCATCCGCAACCTCGAGACGGAGACATGGGTGCCACCGTTGGACCTATATCTCAACAAACGGCTTGCGGACTTTGAGACCAAACACCAGCGAACCGACCTAGACGACGGTCAAGGCGGCAAGAAGACCGCAGGGAGCGTTATTCTTACCGCCTGTCAAAGGATACAGCAGAGACTACGCTCGAAGAGCGGTAACAGGGGCCGACCGCGAACTGTGGGACTGCGGGAGCCCACGGTGGTGGAGAAAGCCGCGAGAACGATCGCGCGCTGGACGGGGGGAACCGTAGATACGAACAAGGTAGTAGAAGAGGCTTGGAGGGCGAGGTGGTTAAAGGAACGGGACGGCAGAGCGATCACCAGACCGGCGGACGACTTTGACCATCAGCAGGAGACTCTATTCCGGAACGGAACCCTAAGGAGGCACGACGGTCTCAGCAAGGCGAAGAGCTCAATGCTGATTCAAATCCGGACGGGAGCATAGGCTTACGGGACTTCTTGTTTACACGGGGAGTCCCGGAGGTTCTGACTCCTGCCTGCGAGTGTGGCGAGGGACGAGAGACTGCCGAACACCTGGTAGTGTGGTGTTTGGCCCCACCGTTGATTCGAAGATGGGAGAGAACTGGAATTCGGACACGACGGGACTTTTACTCTGTTCTACACGGCATCAATCCCACGACTGCACGGCTCGCGAGGAGAGTTCTCGACTGGCTGATGGACTCGGGGAAGCTGCCGATGTACAGCTTAGCCAGGAGGCTCGAGCTGGAAGCGGCGGCCTGAAGCGCCCCCGTTCGGAGGTCAGGAGGCCTCCTCTCTTTGTATACGCAGACACACCAGAACGCATCGTTCCTTGATTGTTGGTATGGGTTTTTCACCCCGCCCGGGAGGGCACGGTTTTCCTGTACACTAAATAGCTGAGGGTCCGGCACGCCCTAGGGCATAGCGGAGTATGAATAATAATAATTTGGCTGATGGGTTGGTCATTCCTTGGAGTTGCGATGCTCATCAAAGGTTCACATACGCCTGGCAACAGCTGGCAGCATCTGCGGCTTGATTGCCGGTTGTGCCGCTGCATCGATTTTCGATGCATTCCTGCAGCCGAGTCCCGGGATTTGTGAGATTACGATGTGGAGTCGGACGCAGATCAACAAAAAGCCCATCTCTTGTTTCCACATGGCGTGCTTTCCAGCTGCGGTAAGCAAGAGTCAAGAGAACACACCAGAGGCCAAAGAATCAGGAGGATCAGAGAACCATGACCTTGCAATCTATATACAAGAACAAATTAAACAGAGAAAGCACCCCAGCATTAACCGGATATAGTTAGGAATATGCGACCACACGGATGGATGTCCCGACCCAACAACGGCAGCCCTCTAAAACTCCCTCTCCCCATGACACAAATGACAAACAACGCCGGATGATACACCATGCAAATCGTCACCCCCTTCATACATTGGCCCCACCCCACCATAGCATCCCATCCCGCCCCACCATTAATCCCATGCTCTCCCTCGCCATCCCAAGCCATGCCATCATTAACTATTTCTTGGGCACCACATGCTTCACCGGATGGAGCATCATATTCGGCAGCCACAGCTCATTGTCCCACTCCTTGATGATCCAGGGGCGGGGCTTGTTGCCGTCGAGCTTGCGGCCGTACCACTCGTTGAAGACGTTCTTGGCCCAGGTCGACTCCCACCAGAAGGTCAGGCCGCGGCCGTTGGGGTGGGCCGAGTCGTCCGGGCCGAGGCCGGTGGAGCTGGCGCGGGGCCCGCCGCGCCACCAGCCGCGCCGGTCCTGGTGGTTGTCCTTGTCGCGGTGGAAGACGGGGTGCTGCGGGAAGGCAAGCTTGAGGCCGTGCCAGAGCGCGAAGGACGGGAGCGTAGCTTCCGAGGGGATGCGCACGCCCTGCTCCATCTGGGCCTGGTGGATGGCGAGGTAGAGGCTGCGCGAGCCGCGCTGGATAGCCGGCGGGCAGTAAAAGCGCGGGGTGCGCGGGCCTGTGCGGAAGCCGTGGATCCAGTTCTTGAACACCCACTCGTTGGGGATGAGCGCGTCCATGCAATACGAGGTGGTGATTACGTCGGCCTCCTCGCCAACGCCCCACTCGAAGTTTTCGTCGCGCGGGTCCGCCACGGGAGGCTCGGGCCCGATGGGTAGGATCTCGTTCACTTTGAGCGGGCCCCACGCGTGCGACCCGCCCCGGTTGGCCTCGTTGACCGCCGCGAAGAACTCGCCGTAGTCGCCGATCTCGGCGATCATGTGCCAGAAGGTGGACCGCTCGAGCGCCTGCTTGCGCGGTTCGTTGCGCGCCGTGGCTGCGAGCCGGTCGAGGAACTTGCCCGCGTCGCCGAGGAACCGCATGTCCAGCTCGAGCTGCCAGAAGTGGTCGAACTCGGGGTAGTGCAGTGCGAGGAGCTGCATCGGCTGGAACACCTGCCACATAGTCCTGCAGAGGGGTTAGCGGCCGGTGTGTGGGGGGGGTGGGGGGTATCGTAGGGGCGAGGATGGCTTACCGGTGTTCTTCAATCATGGGATACCAGTCCTCGAGTAGGCGAACCGACCACAAAAGGGTGATGGATTGGAACTCGGGGGGAACGCCAGCGTCCTCGAGACCTCGAGCGTATGCATCGTCGGATGAGAAGATGTCATTCTCATAACCTTCGTAATCCTTCATGTCGACGAGCAAGATGACCTGGTACTCGCCGCCCGTCTTGAGGGCCGTCTCGGCGACGAGCGACCGGAGATAGTACATGTCCTCGGGCAGGTACTCGTACCCGCGCCAGGCGCGCACCACGATTGCCGTGCGCCGCGACGCCTCGAACTCGTGCCAGTGGCGGACGGGGGGGATCTTCGTCGACTCGCGGAAGCTGAACCGGGGCTTCGTGATGCGGGTGTCCTCGAACCGGGTGGCGGCCATCGGGAAGCGGTCCCTGTTGCGCTGGAAACAGTCGTTCTGCAGCTGGCCCCAATCGACCTGGTCCCAATCCACCTTTTGCCTTTTGTAGTCGCTGCGGTTGTCACCGAAACCATACGGCCCGTATCGCTGCCTCACCGACATCATGGTCAGGTTGAGGCCGGTTTCCTCGTAGTTGCCCGCCCAAGGCATCGGGTACGCTGTAGAACATCGCAGGTTAGTGAGGATGGTCGTTAGAGATGGCAAGGGAGTTGGTTCGTTGCGTACGGCCATCCACTTCGCTCTCCACCAAATCGTCGTCGGGGCTCTGCCCGAGCAGATGGCCGCGGGGGCCATGGCAGGCCACGCGTTCAGCTAGTGGCGGTAGTACATTGTGTGTGGGCATGCGCTGTGGTCGTTTCCGCGTGTCTGGCAAACCAAGATCCGACCATTGCTGCGTGATGTCACCGCGGAACTGCACGCCGAGTATCCAGACGATGCACAGCGCGAGGGCGATCAAGAGCGTCTGCCGTGTGAAGAGCCGTCTGTATTTGGCCCCCGCCAGCCCGAGGCGGTTCATCTTGGCGAACGGAAATGAGGTGCTGACCGCTAAGGTAGTCCTCGGTGGGTTTCCCCGTGTGAAGCAATGGACGACGGCCGTCAACCGACGGGTTGTTCTGCTGCTATTGCGTCCCGGCGCGCGGCATTCGGAGAAAGCGACAGTCAATTCGGAAAGGGTACTAAACGAGTGTACGCGAGAAATAAAGCATAGAAACAAGGAGAGAGGGAAACGGGCCGCTGTGGTGCGGAGTGTACTTGGGGAAGATAAAAATCGACAACGCCAAGTTGGAGGAGGGCCAACTCGAAAGTCGGTCTCCTGATGAGAGACCCCCTGTTCCTGGGCAATCCATTTGAAGATTCGTCCACGTCTTGGCGCTGGCTCAAACATTGGTTGGATTTCTGAGACCCACAAGATCAGGTCGGGGGGCGGCGTGCGATGTAACTCCTGACAGGGAACGACAGGGAGCAAACACAACTGAATTTCAGGTTCTTCGCTGGTTTGTTTCCGAGTTTCCGTCGCGAAACCGACCGTGATCGTCGACTATCTACAGATTGGATTATGCCTCTCTCGAGGGCATCTCACAATGCGAAACCGTAGGCACGAAGACTTCCCTTTATCGCTCGAGCGTTTGGCTTTATTTCCAGGCGTTCATGGACCCTGAGAATTTTCAGGTTTTCAGCTGCCTTGAACCCTGCGGCCCTGAGTGCTAGAAAACCGGACGAGGGGTTCTGGAATGCCGAGCATCGGGACCCCACAAATAATTGCCGCTGTGGCCGATGGCGAGTTCAGGGGCTTTTACTTCCTTTTTTGTTCTTCAAACCTCCAAGTCGCGCCCGTGCAGCCTATCATCCCAATCACTGTCAACCACAACCTGAACAGGCTGACAGGCCCCACCAAGATTAACTTTTGGACAGTCAATGCCATTTGGAAGTGGATGATTACCCCGAAGCGTCGAGCGTTTCCACCCCGGGATCAATGGTGTTGGGTTTCGTAAAACGTCATCCCGTTTAGTGACGTATCTCAGTCAGGGGATGGTCTGGCATGCTGTCCCAGCCGAGTGAACACACGCTTCTGCATGACAAATCCCAATTACGTTGCCTATAAGTAGAGTGAAGATATCCACTATACATACGCTTGTGCCATTGAGTGCTTATAGTCGGAGTGTCTTGCACTCTGCGTAAAGTTGGCCTGACCGATGATGTCGGGGACGGTAGTCATCGATAGGCGTCGGCGAAGGCGGGAATAAGCGGAGCGAGGATACTAGAGTCGTTATATAATCCTGTGGTATTCTTCCAACTCCTCGTCTAGTGAGACACCCACACGGTGCGCTGGTGCCTCTGGTAATATCAATACCGGAATTGACGGGTGGTACTACGTAGCGCTCAAAATATTGATCCACATAACGGGAGTTCTTCCCGTGCCCCCCTGTGACCATCACTGCTACCACATTGTAGCCTCTCAGGCTGAGGGACTCAAAGGCCGAAATGGTGACCGAAACGCCGTCAAACTCTCTTGATCCGACGAGCACAACTGGAAACCCCAGCGGCCGGTATACTTCAGCCTGAGGTAGGCCTGAGAAGCAAGGAGTCATGACGCCATTTACTGACTCGATAAACAACCAACTAACATCATCTCCGGGCTCGGGAGCATGCCGTTTGATGAAGTCCATGGGTTCCTGGACCTCATTGACGACGTACGCCATGCCGCTATGCCCGGTCTTAAAAAAGAGAGAAAAAAAAAAGAAAAAAGAAAAAGTCAGGTCACCTGCAGCAGCACCGGAAACCTGGAAACGGACTCACCTATCCGGTCCGCGTCGCGTCCAGCTCATCAAGATCCGGTGTCTCCACGTTGCATATCCGTATAACGTGTGCTGGGCTCTCACAAAGCACGTTGAGAGGGCTAAGCCAGCATTCAATGTCCCCTGTCCTCGACGTGCATCCCAATAAGTTGAGACAGTCGGATAAACCTCCAAGCCCTGTTAGTCCCGACTACACCACCCACAAAAGCATAATAATCGTCGGTTCTGGAGAGGGCCGAACTCACTCCCAGGTTTAATGTCAAACGAATGACAGAGCGGCTGCAGATACAACGTTCGCTCCCCATACCTCATTTCAATCTCGCGGCAGAGGGCGGCAATGACCATAACTTCGCCAACGTAATGGTCGGCCCCGAAAACCAGGACCGCGCGGAGACTGCCGGTGTCTACGGGAATCGTTGGCTGCTGCCTCGTTTGTGCTTCTGCCTCCGATGACATGGTTGTAGGGGGTGTGGTCTCGCCCATGCTAATGTAGTTTCTAGAAATAGTAGGTAACTGAGAACTTGTTAAGAGAGAAGTGTTGACAGAACAAGGCCGTCAAGTAGCCTGAATATGACAGTGAAAGAGGTCGCTGGTAATGAGGGTCCGTCCGCCCTTGCCTCACAGCCAAGCGGATGGATGGAAACGGGGACGGCAGCGGCAATCCGTCCAAGGCCCCGGTGCGCTCACCGGCAGCTACGAGGGAGCGGAGACATCACAGACCGGGAAGCAAGGGAATGCAATCGAAACCACGACGCGGCGCCCAACGTATTTTTGTTTGCAACTCTACAACACACCCAGGCTGGCGACCCTCACACTTGCCCAGCAGCAACATCCCCCGCCCGCAGTCCCAACTTCCGGAAGCTCTTCATCGGTTGAAGCCCCCAGCGCCCAAACATAGCGGCATCTTCATCCCAACCATTGCACTCGGTCGTAAGCATCTTCTCGCCCGTAAAGATGGCGTTGGCGCCGGCCATGAAACACATCGCCTGTTGGTCCTCGGCCATGGTCTTCCTCCCTGCGGCGATGCGGATGATGGTGGCGGGCATGATGATGCGGGCCGCCGCGATGGTGCGCAGCATGCTCGTGAATTCAATCGGCGGCCGGTCGCCCAACGGAGTCCCCTTGATGGGCACGAGCGCGTTGACGGGGAAACTCTCAGGGTGGCTGGGGAGCGTGGAGACGGTGTGTAGCAAGCCGACGCGATCTTCGGATGTCTCGCCCAGCCCCAAAATGCCGCCGGAGCAGACGTTGATGCCGGCGTCGCGGACATGGCCTAGAGTCTTGAGTCGCTCATCGTAGGAGCGGGTTGAGATGACACTGGGGTAGAACTCGCGGCTGGTGTCGACATTGTGGTTGTACGCCGTCAGGCCCGCCTCCTTGAGCTCCTTGGCCTGCTCCGCGTCGATCATGCCGAGCGTGACGCATGACTCCATGCCCATGGCCCGCACGCCCGCCACCATGTCTTTGATGTTGCGGAGGCTGTTCTTGCGGCCGCGCATGTCGCGCCACGCGGCGCCCATGCAGAAGCGCGTGCTGCCATTCTCCTTGGCGATGCGCGCGGCTTCGAGGACCGACTCAACGGTCTCCACACGTTTAGCCTCGAGGCCGGTGCCTTTTTGGTACCGGGTGGACTGGGCGCAGTACGAACAGTCCTCGGTACATCCGCCGGTTTTGATGTTCATCAAGGTGCAAAGTTGTACTTCCGAGGGATTGTGGAATCGACGGTGGACGGTGGCCTGGGTGAGGTATTAGTTACCTATGGTAAGCGCTTTGGTTGAAGGTGAGTATGCGCACAGCTTGATAAGCCAACTCCATCAGAGGCTGGTAAAAGATGGCCGAGATCTCCTCTCTGGTCCAGTCATGTCTCGGTGCCGTCGCGGCGACTGCATTCTGCAGTATTTGCCTGGATCTTTGGCGACGTTCCGAGTCGAGTAGTTCGTCGGAAGCGGGATTTGCCGGTGACGAGACAGTTTGGGCCGCGGCAGCAGTTGACATGCGGGCCGGGAAGTTGCCGATACAGGCCGCGCGAGTCAACTGCGTGCCTGTGACCCGGCGGAGGGCCGGTCGGAACGCAACTCTCATCGTTGGTATCTGGTGACAAAAACCCGGACTCTGATAGGAGCTCGCCTTGTTGGATGAAACAGACAAAGATGCGTAATGAGATCTTGGTTGGCCAATTCAGCTGGTAATTTGTTGGGAAACGGGGTCATGCAGAGGGGGCCATCCCGCGTTGAGCATGCAACCCTAGGTGGGGTCGCTGCGGGAGAACATCGTGGGTGTGGGATGACTCAATTCGATGTGCAAACTCAACAGCAGCTCTCCGACCTCAGTGTCTGCGGGTTGTAAAGGGCGAAGCTCGTCGTTTTTCGTCATGTGCGGCGCGCAGTGCTCCGGAATCGGACTAGCGGAGCCTAGCCCACGATTCGAGGGACGAGACCCCAGCTGACCCAATCTCCTCGCTCGGGTCAAGTCGATGTGAATCAAGTCGATGGAGATCCATCGTCCGGTCGCGTCTTGCTCGGGACCTTCTGTGGTAAGTCTCAAGCTATGTGGTACGTCTGTACGAGCCGCGGGAGCGCGCAAATTAGGAGGGCGGCTGGCAGCGCTTCCCGTCGCCCGAGCCTTAAACATTGAGAGTGCGATCGGCTTGCGCAATCGCGTCGATAAAGCTCAGTGTTTTTTGACGCCCTCCATCCACTCTTTCCCGGATTTTGCGCCGTCATGTGCCTTGCGAAACAGCTTCCTCTCCCACTCGTCCAGCCCCCGAAGGAACTCCTCGCCCGCGCCGCCCACGCCGAGATTGCTCCCCTCTTCGCCTTTGCCTTTGTGTCCCACTCCTCCAACCTTACGGGCGTGTAAGGCAACCTCGGACGCCCGGGTAATAAAAGTCTTGCGGAGGGCGGCGGCCAATTCTTGCTCCTCCGACAGCTCCATCATGTGTATCGCGAGTCCGTAAAAGTGCGCGCTGTGGTCGCGCAGTGGTACGGCGCGGGGATCCGCCTTGAGCGCTTGGACGACATCGTTCCCCATCGCAGGCGGGAGGTCAAAAGACACAAACGACTTGCCCTCGACGTCCCCCGTGTTAGCGATGGCGAGCATTTCAGCCAGCCATAGCGGTAGGTTCACTTTGGTGCCGGCCTTGAGTGGCTGCGTGGGGGTATTATCGAGATAGCCTAGATCGGGAATATCGACTTGGAATGTGCATGGGATTTTCTATGTCGAGGGAACGCTGTTAGTCGGTGTTTTAACGAAGTATATGAGGATGTGTGTGCGTTTTGTTGTTTTACCTCCGCATCCGTAAGTATTGCATCGATGTCGTAATAGGACATTTTGCGTATGATGGAACCAGGGGCGTTGATTCGAGATCAAAAAAGACTGGAAGTAGCGTTTGCTTCTTATATCAATCGAATATCGACACCTTAAGAGACCACAGCAGCGGCAACGCGATCTGGAGGGGCACGCGGGTGTGGCTCCTGTCAACGAAAACCCAGCCACATGCTCGACAAATGTGCCACAAGTGCAAAACTAGAGAGCCACAGTGGGTTCCTTGCGGGTTCCTTGGTGCTTGGTTAATGTGGGGCCATGACGAAATTCAAGTTGCCGAAGCTTCCCCCGAGCTTCGACGGAACGCCGAACTTGGGCTGTTTAATAATTTGGTCTCTTAACAGCTCCCCCAAAATTTCAAGGTAAAACCCCCGACACAACGAGTTTTAGCTTTAGCGGCACTCAATTGACGTTTTTGCATCCAAGTTACCAACCAACCGCCAGCCCATAATGTCTTCGACTCTACTTCGTACCGTCCCCGCCCTGCGGGGTGCTCTTCGAGCTTCCGGAGCTCCCAAGGCCGCCGGCGCCATGGCCAGCACGAGCTTCGTGCGCGGGAAAGCGACACTCCCCGATCTTGCGTGTAAGTAGCGGTTGAAACAGAGGAGCCAATTTCGAAATGCCGCCCTAATGGCATTAGAGCCCGGGCATCAAGCTGGCAAGCTGAGATGGTGGATAAAGCTGATCGACGCATCTGCAGACGACTACGGCGCCCTCGAGCCCCATATCTCGGGAAAGATCATGGAGCTGCACCACGCCAAGCACCACCAGACCTATGTCAATGGCCTCAACAGCGCCCTGCAGACCATCGGCGAGGCCGAGAGCAAGGGCGATTTTACCAAGGCGGCGACGGTCGCCCCCCTCCTCAACTTCCACGGCGGCGGTCACATCAACCACAGCCTGTTCTGGGAGAACCTGGCGCCCGCCAGCAGAGATGGAGGCGGCGAGCCGGACGGAGCTCTCAGGGTATACGTTGTCCCACCCTCTCCCTTGGGGTTCATCTCCTCGGTAGAATACTGATAATACGGCACTATAGAAAGCAATCGAAATCCGGTTTCGGCGTCATCCAGAACTTTTAGCTCGCAAAAGAAACACATCGCTTGCTCGGCTACCGAGGCGGCCGGCTGGGGCTTGGGTTGGCTAGGGGCACGTTGGGCGGTCTCCCTGGGGCTCGTGACGCGCGCCAACCAGGACCCCGTGTCGAGCCCTTTTGTGCCGCTGATGAGTATCGACGCCTGAGAACACGCCTACTACCTGCAGTACGAGAACCCGCAAGGCCGAGTACTTTGACGCCATCTGGAACGTTATCAACTGGAAGACCGTTGCCAGCCGGTACGAGAAGGCTTAGATGGTTATAGCAGCAGGAACGAGGGACAGACTGCCATTTGTGTACATACTGCGCTAGCGTGAGCTCTCTAGGTACTTGAAACGAATTGATCTCGACTTGAACTGCTTTATTTTGTTTTATTCTAGCCCCGGAAAATAAAACAGATACAACCAAGAGGCCACAGGATAACTAAGGTACCTAAACACGCCGGCTTCAACAAGTCGTCGCCCCGCAGCCCATGGCATGACAGCGGGGGTCCAGGCCCAGGCTTCACGCATGCCAAGACTAAAATTCGATGCCCCGCGTTTTGTCCAACTGCGACGGTCCAGCACTCCAGCTCTGCGCGAAGGATGCTGGAGTGGTCACGGCTACCGCTGGTTAGGTACCGAGGTAGTTCTCGCCTGTTAAGGGCCTAGGTCTTCCCACGTCTTGCCCGATTTGGGGTTTCCGATATTTTGACGACATGGGGATAGATATCTGGTAATTTTGATCTGGTATTTTGAGCTCTTTAATTCGGGCCTATCACGCAGCGCCGGGCCCGCGCTATCCGGTTCTCGACCCAGTGTCTCCCACATGGGTTGCATGGGGATTCTCCACCCAAAATCACCATGGGACGACGACACCTCCAGGGGTGGATGTGAGCTTCATTTGGCTCTTGACCTCTGAGTTCGATGGAATACCCCGGCTGGGAAGTTTGCCATTTTGGGACGCATGTTCGTCCTGCCAACCAGAGCCTGAAGTGTCACCTTACTGAAAGCGACCGAGAACTACACTAAAAAATTGAAACCCACCCACTGTCTTACACGACATTTAGGTACGTACCTAAGAACTGTGGTGCCCAAATGGAAGTTCTGGCGGTTTTATTATCGTCCAACGCTCTTGAACCGCGAGCAACGCAACGGAACAGACCGGACTTGGCGGAGGTGGGTGGCCATGATTGGGTGCGCACACAGCAAATGGTGTGGCCATCCGTCCGTACGGCGAAAAAGTGGTATGACCGGTAAACTCAAAGGACCGGAAATCCTTTGTCGGGGGCATTGCCACCCTTTTACAACATAAGGTACCTTCTGGGACAATATCGTCACCCGACTCGACACTCGTCTGAGGTGTCGTCCCTGAACCCCAGCATCAGAGTGGACCACTCCCCCATAAATACAACCTCCCGAATTCCCACATCCAACGTCCTGATCCTTGCGTCGACCCCGCCAAAACCTTTGACAGGGCTGTCGATCCGCAAGAACATTGACATCACCATAAAGGCTCTCAACGGTGGCAACTTGGGAGGGCGACTCGAGTCAAACGCCGAACTGTGGCCAAATGGGTTTTAAACAAAGCCCGCTGTCTCTCCTTTCCAGCTCAACAACAGTTAATGACGCCAATAGTTAAACCATCCCAATTGTATTACCTAACGTTGCCCCAGAATCTGAGCGACTTACAACGAGAATACGTGCCAAGAAGCGGAAGACGGCCCCAGCCCAATCGATCCGGGGACTCAGAGACACGGGCTGATCAAGAGGGAGAAAAGCCAGCCTCCCAGTGTAAGTCGCCGTTTGAAGATATTCATGTCTCATGCCCCTCTTCCCTTTCGGTCTTGGGTCAACAGCCCTTTGTCACCTGCCCCTTCTCACATCATAACCACTCAAAGCCTGCCTACGGGAACGAGTCCCGACTGCAGCTGGTGTGATATGGCTTGATGGCTCAGCATCGGGGCATTCACCGACTTTACCGCCCGCATTCCCATGCAAATACGGATGGGGCAGCAAGGGCAACAACGGCAATATGCCCGTGGGCGAGGCAGGCCCCGTCCAATAACCCCGCGGACTCGCAGAAGGCTTGCAGCATTGGGCTGGCTCGCTGGCCAGGTCTCATGCTGCGTCCCCTGTCCGGTCTCGCCGTTGTCTGACCCCAAGCGGGCAATCACAGCGGGGGGTAAAGATGCGTCCCACCTCTGGGTGCCTCAGGTGCCACCAGCAAGGGGCAAGAAGGACAAATCCAATCCCTCTTGTCGTGTCCGTGCAGTGCTCACAGGTGTGCCGGATCGAACAATTGACAAGTCCTTAATGTAGTAGCACAGGAAAATCGGAAATTGTGTGAGATCATGACCGACAGATCAACAAGCAGAGTTCCCAACGATTCGGATGGTGAGGAGGGGTCCAGAGAATCATGGCACTCTGCCCCACCACACCTTCCACACGCCCCAGAGAACTTCGAAGAGATGCACTCACACAACCCAAGCCCGCATTCAGGCCCACACAAGCTGCAGCTGCAGCAAGGCGACCTGCGTCACCGCTTCGAGGCACGCAGCTCCCCGGCAGCTCCTAACAATTCAACTGGAGGTCCCACAAGTGCTATCGCCACTGCAGACCAACGCCACCAGAAGCAGACCTCGGGCTGTTTGGATGCAGCCATTCCATCCCAACCCCACGAATCCCAGCAACCGCCCAAAACGCAACCTTCCAGAGCTTCCCCATCTCCATCTCAAGCATTGCATTCTGTGACACCACACCGTCCCACTGACTCTCTTATTTCTTCCGACCCACGCCACTTCTCACCTTCCTCATCAACTTCCATACCACCAACAGAACTAGACACATCTTCCTCCGTTACCAACAAACACATTCCAACTCCTCGAATTATCGATCGTGATCACATCCGATCCCTTGCAAGCGGCGAACCATCACCATTATCAAGCGGAACCGCTACGCCAACCGGCCAACATCGTCGCCGATTCAAAACCCTTAGACCCATCGTTTACTCAATCATGGCGTTAGAGAAGGGTCGCAAGTTTTCGACGGGCACTTCGGTGCACCGCAAGCGCCAGATGAGCACCTTGGTCGAAACCGAGGGTCATTATGGCCCTGCTCTCACGGTATGTTGACCCAGTCCAGTAGCGTCTTCTTGTAGCTCACGATGGCTGATTAACCTTGTGTGAAGACGCTCTACCTGGGTGTTGCAGCCGTCTTTTCCGATGACCACACTGCAGTTGTAGCACTCGCCATTCACGACACCGTCTACCTCGTGGACTTTTCGGTTAAGCACATTGTCCTTGATGACGCTATGAAGATGGGTGCCGATCTTATTGCCGACTACGTCATCTCGGAGGTTGAGAAGTACGAACATGAGAACTTCTCCAAGTTCATCGGCGCCGGCCTGCCGAACCACGCTCAAGTACATGAGCCCCTCTTTGTGCTCCCGCCTCTGGCTCGAGCTAGACATTGTGCCCATCGTAATGCGCCCTGATGACGAACACAAGGAGAAGTCATTCTGGGATGTCAAGCGCGTTGATGAGCAGGCCGATTCCATGGCGCGGAAATGTATCATGTAAGCTTCGACGGGCCGCTACCAAGGCGCACGCAAAGTCTGACAGAACGACAGGAACTTTGGGCCTTCCCTCGTCCCACTCCTCCAAGTCGGTTGGCGAGGTGTTGTCCAGACCGACGCTGGTTTCCGCGCCCACCTAACCACGGTCCAAAACCACAAGGATACCTGCGGCAATGCCACCTGGGAAACCATGTTGACCTACGCCAAGAAACTCAGGGGCAACAAGACCAAGGTTGCGTTCTTCAGCTCGACCCCTCAGGGCGGCGGCGTTGCCCTCATGCGGCATGCATTGGTCCGGTTTGCGCGTCTCATGGGCGTTGATTTGACTTGGTATGGTGAGTACAATGAACTACTGTCACCCGGCAGCGAGAGGAAACCCGGTAACACTTTGCAGTACCAAAGCCACGGCCTGGAGTGTTCCGGATTACCAAGAACGTCCACAACATTCTTCAAGGTGTTAGTCACCCGGACCAGCGCATCTCAGCCGAGGAGAAGCAGGCCATCATCGACTGGATTACGGAGAATGCCACCCGGTACTGGTTCTCCGAGGGCGGCCCTCTGTGCTCACCCGAGGATGGTGGCGCTGATGTTGTTATTGTGAGTAAATTTCTGTCGGTTGTGTCACCTGCACGCCGCCGCAATACTTGCTCACCGAGACCGGCTTCCCACCCCTCCGCATACATAACCCACGCTGTGAGACTGCATTCATGGTCAAGTGACCAGAGCTGGGCCACTGGAGCGTGGGGTGAGAGGGGTAGCACACCTTTCCATGACCATGCATGCTGACGAACACAGATTGATGACCCCCAAATGCCGGGTCTCATCCCGCTGATCAAGAAAGCCACTCCGGACCGACCGGTCCTCTACCGATCCCACATCCAGATTCGGAGCGACCTTGTCGCCAAGACCGGTTCCCCCCAGGCCGACATCTGGGACTTCCTCTGGAGCAACATCCAAGGGTGTGACATGTTCATCAGCCACCCCATCCCTATCTTTGTTCCGCACAACGTCCCCCGCGAGAAGGTTGTCTACCTCCCCGCCACCACTGATTGGCTTGATGGTCTGAACAAGCATTTGAACAAATGGGATTCCGGTTACTACGGCCACACTTACAATATCGCCTGCCATTCTCAGCGCATGTAAGCCAAGCCCTATACCCTCGTCCTTGGTCGATTCTGTGCTAACTGTTAACTTCAGGACGGAGCTCAACTGGCCCGCTCGCAAGTACATCATCCAGGTTGCCCGCTTTGACCCCGCAAAGGGCATTCCCACCGTGATCGACTCGTACGCCGAGTTCCGCCGGCGATGCGAGAAGGCCGGCGTGGTCGATGTGCCCCAACTTGTTGTCTGCGGCAACGGTTCGGTCGACGATCCCGACGCCAGCCTGATTTATGATCAGACCATGAGCCAGCTCGAGACCTACTACCCCGATCTGGTCAAGGACGTGAGCGTCATGCGGCTTGACCCCAATGATCAACTCATCAACACCATGCTAGCCAACGCACACGTGGTACTCCAGCTCTCCACCCGCGAGGGTTTCGAGGTCAAGGTGTCGGAGGCCCTGCACGCGGGCCGCCCCGTCATCGTCACGGCAACCGGCGGAATTCCGCTGCAGGTCAAGGACAAGGTCAACGGCTACCTCGTCACCCCCGGCGACTGGAAGGCCGTGGCCGGCCACCTGATGGATCTGTTTACCGACGACGAGCTTTGGAAGAAGATGAGCCACGCCGCTGCCACGGGCGTCTCGGACGAGGTCGGCACTGTCGGGAACGCCCTTGGCTGGTTCTACCTGGCGGCCAAGTGGCACGAAGTCGGTGTTGAGAAGCACGGCAAGGGCGGCCTCAAGGGCAGCGAGAAGTGGGTGAACGACATGGCCCGTGAGGAGGCCGGCTTCCCGTATGCCGACGGCGAGAACCGCCTGCCGAGACACTTTACAGAGGTCAAGGATGTCCCCGTGCACCTCAAGCCTGCTGCTTGAGGCCACGGATATTGTTTGAGGCTGCTTGAGGCTGCTTGAGGATGCGTGAAGGATAAATGGGTTTGGATTCGATGATTTGATGGCACAGGTAGGTTATATTTGGGGGTATTTGCGATGATCGTTTTCGTCCTGGTTGTTTCTGCAACGCCGAGAAGTTCGTTTGGTACAGCGAGTGTTTTTGAACTTGGTGTGGTTGGAGAAGGGTACGTACGCGGCGCAGTGAGTTTTGCTTCAACACTGGAATAGAGACACGGGCTTCTAAACGGATATGGGGTTTGATGGATAGAACCCGCCTTACCTTAGATAGCTAATCAGGAATAGACCAGGGGTCAGTAAAGATCGATGGTTTATGTTCTGTCTCTCTCCAAGAAGTGCCTTGCTTGTTCAAATGTCCCTCGTAGGATATAATGAGGCGGTCGTTTGGGAGTATGTGATTGTGATGCACGGGGTTCAGATAATCTCTCCTATATAACTCGAACCCTATCTTGCCTTTACAGCGCTCAATGTCTTCGCAAAAACATTGCTAAACGAGGTGCCTCGCCAAGCAGGACCCCAGGTGAAGGGTTACTGGAGGTTATGTAGCTACAAAACAAAGGGACAAGACAAAACAGAAAACAGAAAGGAGAAAGAAAAATCACACGTGAAAGGGGACGAGAAAGATGCTTGACTTTTTGCAAGACTGGCAGATCCCTTCTTTTCTCTTCTACAGCCCCATCTAAATAGGGTCCATACGCTGCTGTAACATGTCAACCGGTATACCCTCCACCATCTTTTTCCACAAGCCGTCTCATCATCCTAATCACCCAGCCCTGGCAATTCTCTCTACCACCTGCCCGGTTCACAGCTCACGGTGGGGGCTCTACCCGAGCAATCCCGTCAATCTTGGCAGCCTGGGCCGCTGAAATATTGGTGTTGACGGTTTGGTGCCATTCGAAGGTTGTACAGTTCATGATCGCGACGTTTGAAGCATGACTATATCGCATCAACTCCGCGTCGCCCTCGACCTGCCAAACTTGGCCCACCCCCGTCTCCGTATCCGCCCCCGCCTCCCGGGCGTGTCCTGGGAGGCCCGTAACCAACTACATCTTCGTTGCAGTCCGCAACCTCCCCTCCCCCCTCACCACCCACATCGCCAAACTGCACGACCCCTACCAAAACTATGCCCATACTGGCGGTAAAGCTTTGCTTTGCATGGACAAGACCGCGACGGGGAGTTGCGTGCGGCCGCGAGGCAGCCACAGCTGCGAGTGGGAAGATGTGTTGCCTGGGATTGAAGGTGGGTATGGCGGCAACGAGCCCTCCCTCCCTCGGGTCTGTTGGTTCTGCACGTTGATGCGCCAAATTGCCCCCAAGTCCCGCCAGTCCGCCCCGTGCTCCCTTGCAACTACATTATGGTCAGCGCAGGCGGATCCTCGGTGGGTATGACCCCAACGCACCCCAAGTACACCTCTTCGCCAATACATCCAGCGCGACGCGCCCGCCAGTGGGCCCCCCCGTCGCGCTCGTCCCCGCCGCCGTAACGCTTTTCGTCGGCCCCGTGGCGCTCGGGCGGCTAGTCCGAGATCTCCGCGCCGGTGCGACTGTGATTCGTCCGTACACACGGTGGTATACTCCCTGCTTCGTGTGATTGATGTTGAGCTTGCTGCTAGCCGTTTTTTCTTTTTCTTTTTTTTTTTTTGTTTATGCCGTCGAACTTGGCGAGAAGAACGATTTTGACATCGTGGTTTGACACAGAAACCCACCGCGGCATGTCTAGACGCAAGTTCACCAACGTCTTAGAGTATCCCGCCTCGAGAGTGCGCACAAACTTGAACGGGATCGTTTGTGAAGCCGTTCCTTCCTCTAGCTGTACAGTAACAGTTTTTGAAAGTAGGAGTGGTTGGCGGTCAACTTAAGGGAAGGAGCGGGCACGAGAAGCCCATGTCACAGTTCACTGAGCAACGAGTAGATTTTGACCTTGTGACGTCGAGTGGACACCTGCTAGTTTAATCTGAGTTACAGAATCTAGGAGGTGTCGCAGTCGGCCACTCTTGAGATCACACTCCAGGGGCCCGAACCTAGGCGATTCCGCCCGGTAGTCGTCGGGCTCACCAATGCCAGCATACGGGCCCCTGACTTGGGCTCCTTTGCCCCAGGAAGGTGGAAGAGATTGACTGCATCTACATTCTGATACGAAATAAGTACGATGTAGTCTTTAATACCCTGGCCGAAGATGTTCCAGTAGGGCTGAAAGCGGTACTCGGCCCCTAGAAGTCACGTTTGCTTGGTACCAGAGGCTGCCCACCTCGAGAAGGGAACCGCGATGTTGTAGGGAAAGGGCAGAACACCGTACCCCAAACATGCTTCCATACCCCGACTCGCTACCACCTACACACTCATCTCCATCGGAATAATCTTATGCGGGTTATACCCCTTAATCAGAAAGTCCTCCGCCTTCCACCCATCAATGCTCCTTTCTTCCGCTGGCCCCCGCCCTTGCCTCTCCTCCGAGATCTCCAGCTCTGGGAACGGGCGCGGCTCCCGCTCCAGCTGCGTCTGCAGCGCCTCGACGTGGTTCAGGTACACGTGTGCGTCGCCCATAACGTGGGTCAGCGACCCTGGAACTAGGTCACATACGTGTGCCAGCATGTGTGTGAGGAGTGCGTAGCTGGCGATGTTGAAGGGTACGCCGAGGCCCATGTCGCAGGAGCGTTGGTAGAGCTGGCAGTTGAGGTGGCCTTTGCTTTTTGCGGGGGGCGGGGTGGGGGTTTGTTCGGGGTTCGTGGTGGTGGTGGTGGTGGTGTGTGACCGCCGTGCGCCGCCCGGGTAAGAGACGTAGAATTGCGCAAACATGTGGCAGGGCGGGAGAACCATGCTGGGCATGTCGGCAGGGTTCCAGGCGCTGAGCACGAGGCGGCGGTCGAAGGGGTTGGTGCGCAGCGTGTGCACGATACGCGCCAGTTGGTCCACGCCCTTGCCTGTGTAATCTGTAGCGCTGTCTACGTACTGCGCCCCGAAGTGCCGCCACTGGAACCCGTACACGGGGCCCAGGTCCCCCTCCGCCCGCGACGTGAGCCCGAGCTTGTCGAGGAACTCGCGCGACCCGTTGCCGTCCCAGATCTTGACACCCTGGGAAGAGAGTGTATGCGAGGAAGTGTCGCCTGAGATAAACCAAAGGAGTTCGGCTATGACAGCCTTTGTGAAGACACGCTTGGTGGTGAGGAGCGGGAGGATGGGCACGCCATCGCGGTTGAGGGAGAATTTGAGGGGGCGTGGCGCGAAGATTGAGTAGGTGCCGGTGCCGGTTCTGGAGGTAATATTGGCATTAGTAGGTTGGCTATGGGAGGTGATGGATAAATAGAGCTACCTGTCGCTGCGGAGTTCGCCCTCGTCGAGGATCTCGCGGACCAAGTCGAGGTATTGGTATTCTTCGTGTCGGGGTTCGGCGGTGGGGGCGGGAGCCGCAGGTGCGGGATCGCTTTGTGTGACGGTCATTATGGAGGGTATCTTGTGGGTTGGAATGGAATGGTCGCTCAACAATTCTGACAGATATCTGTTGGGCGTTAGTGATTCTCGATGTGAGTCGCTAAGGCGTTGATGATCATCGGGTTGATAGGGAAACGCGATCCAAAGCTCTTTACGCGTCGACGCGTGCCCCGAGACCCGCCCCCACCATGGTGGGGCAAAAGAAAACCCCTGTCATTCGCCTTGTCTTTTTCCCAAGCACAACAAGCGATCGAGACTGAGCTGAATGTCTGTCTGATTAGCATATACAGCAAGACGACGCTCGAGTCAGATGAGGTGTGCTTGATGCTCTTTGTTGTAAAAATGGATTGGTATTGCCCGTTCTATCATGAGATAAATAGCATCCACGAAGCCACCGTGATGCTCCTCTTCATTATCTCGTCTCCATACCTACGAAGTACCCCAGGCCGAGTCACAGAGACAGCGACTACGAAGTAGACAACCGATCAATCCATAAATACATGCTAAACGATGTGTATTTCCTCCTTGTAACTTTCGGCCCTCCACCAGTTTTCCTGCCCAGTGTGACAAACTCAGCTTCGTACCTTAGGTATCTACGACAACGGCCCTAAAACACCCCATATCTCCTCGCGCAGAGTGCCCAACTAGGGAAGCAACGCAGATAAAATAATAATGCAGCGCTAAGGACTCAACCTCCCCGTCTCCGCCGCCAAACCGAGCCCCTTATAAGGGCCGGTCAATCCCGCAGCACCAGCTGGCCACCTACGTTGTGATTGATTCGGCACTCCAGAAATGGATTGGCCACCAGGCTATTAACTCATTTTCCGTATATTCCCCAGCTGCATCGTGCCGAGTTCCAGCTTGCCGTAGAAATGTTAGGATATGGACCCCTTGGAAAGCTGAGGGCAAGAGGTAAAGGAGAGGGAGTTGAGGTCATACCAAGTTAATTAGTGCCACTCCGTGACAACAATGTTGACGCCCTTCTTAACCCTGTCTTAAAAGCATACACCAGAGATGTGCCCTTTCTGATGTAGATCGTCGGCCTGCAAGTGACAAACCCGCTGCCTGGACACCCAGAGCAGACGTCAACATCATAGTGCTCGGTCAGCCAGTGTGTAGTGTTGTAACTCCTATTGCCGAAAAAAAAACAGTCAGTAGATCCTCTTGACATAGTACACGAGGGGGCAACTTACAACCAATCTGACCTCTCCAACGCCTCGGCGTCCTGATCAGCTCCGTCTTTCCAGAACATGAATTCCTTCATGATAACGGCAGGCTTGAGATCTGCTTCCTGAATGGCCTGGAGGAAGCTGTTGTTTAGCGTCGTGTCAATTAGAAATGATTGCTCGTCAATACCTAAAATAGCGGAGATGCACTTATGATTTCCAGTTATTTCCAACGGCAGCTCACAAGTAGTGTGTTCAATTTTCCCCTTTCGTTGGGCTTTGCTGAGAAAATACGCCACGTCGTCGAAGAAGTAGCCCCTCTTCTCTTTGACTTTGAAGGCGAGCCTCCGATGTTTATCCTCGACGGGTTGCCGCGTGAAATGGATGATCTTTTTGATGGTGGTGCCGGTTTGTTTTAGCCGCTGGCAAAGAAACGAGGAACCGGGGTCGTCGCGCAATAGGTTGAGGAATATACCGCTGGCCGATCCATGATCGAGGCCATAGTAATCGAGTTGAGTCTGGTAAATCCTACCCGTCAATGTATCGTATTCGGCGCTTCCCATTTCCCAGAAACCGCTTTCGAAGAGGGGCTTTGACTGCTGACTTAAGGCATCGCATATTCTACGTCCGTTAGCTTGGTTACTGCTGTTCTTGTTGCTGGGTGTTACTTACTCTTCTTCGCTGGCATCCCCCCAGTCCTTGCCAGCTTGCGCCAGCGTGAGTCGCGCCCTCAGGATATGCGGGGGCTCCTCAAGCCTTTCACCACGCACCAAGTACTTGACGCGGTCCACAATATCCTGGCGTTTCTCACTTGACCCAAGACCGTCAAAATGCCGAGGATCTAGCCGCCGGGCGCCTGGGATAGCCCGAGAGCACTCTTCCATTGTTGACCGAAATGCTTTGACAAACGATGGCCGTGGGTGTGGAGGCCAAGTAATAGGTACCTACCTAACCAAATATTAACGTAGGGGCCATTGAAATAGCCTTTTTCACTATGACACCTACTTTGCAGGGATCGAGGCCGTTTGGCTTTGGCGTGCTTTTTGAGTTTAAAAGTAAGGTAGGTTATATACGGCAGAATTCTTGGCCGAGTTTCAACAAACTCTGCGTTTATGTCATGTAAGAAGTCAGTCTGCTTCCCTCCATCTATAGTGAGGTGGGGCTTTATGCCGAGACGCGTCTTTATTATGTCTATATCTTGTGTTTGGACCTGATTTGACTGAACAATGCGGCTTGGCCTCGTGGTGCCTCCCCGCCCCTGATCAGAGATCAGTTGAACTTGAGGTTTCAAGCCCAACCTGGTATTTCCGGCAGTCGCAGGCCCTTTGAGAGGTTGGACAGCTAGACGGTCACTTACCTAGCCACTTTCTGACCTTTGTCGGGTCGTTCCCTCAATCTATCAGCACTCATAAGTGCCACTTGGCAACTACACTACAGTCCAATATTTTCTGTGGTTGGGGATGCTGCAACGATAAGGGTTGCAGTCGTCGCTCGCGGCTCGCCCTTTTTTAGCCCCGCCAAGACCAGGGTAACGTACCTTCCGCAACCTCACCCCCAAGCTCCGATCTCCCGCTGGCGTCGCTGTCAAACACAGCAGGATAAGCCTGGGGTGCATTATCATGGTGTTACCCCAGATCCGGGACGCTGGGAGCGCATGAGGCTTCGCTATCTCTGGAATTAGGGCTATCTCTAAGATAAGGCACAGTCACACGGTCCCTTTTTTTGACACTACCTTGCCTGGCTGGTGCGAGGTTGATGACTTTTTGCGGTGCCGGGACTGGGCGCTGAGGAGCGGGGCCGCCCGCCCGGGCCAAGGTGGGATCTTGCCGATTGCCCCTGCAGTTCCTGGGCTGATGGGCTGATGACGAAAGGAAGACCCTGCGCGGGAAGGTGCACCTGAGGCGCTATAAAGGCGCTAGGAAAAAAAGATCTGGAAACAGCTGATCGCTAAAAATTCGACATCGGATCATTTTGTGGATCGTTCACGAACCGTCAGCTCCCGAGTTTGGTAACAGTTTCCCTGGGAGCCTGGCGAAATGGCCTCTCGATGCCCACGATTTCCCGAGCTGCGGGTTTTCCCGCCGCGGAGATGCTTGATTCCCTCAAACAACGGCCAGAATAGCTGATTCAGCCAGATTTTTGTTATCAATTGTGAGCTGATCCCTCCTTCCCATCATGCCTCGGACCAGATTCCCTGGTATCCGATAACCCCCACCGAAGGAACTGGATAGAGCAACGAGGCCTGGGCCAATTGCAGACATGGCATTTCCCATCACGCATCGAAGGACCCCAGAGCCCGGCGGTTCGTCCTCGGAGATGTCTGTTTCTGCGCTGATCGTACCGGCCCGCGTGGTTCCACCGCCCTCCGAGGCCGGGAAAGTCAGGCGAGACCGGGTCGGGTGTGACAGCCACGAAAGGCTCGGCGCAGGGTCTGCTTCGCGTCTCGTTGGCGGAACGGCCCGGCGAGAGACGCGGCACCAAGATAAATAGATCCCTGAGTCCCTCGTGGTCGTAAAAGGTAGCGATCGGACCGGCACTGTAACATCATCAACCGCACTTCCCCACTTGTCCAAGACTCCGAGAAACGACGGGCAGCACGGCAGAAGTAACCACCCTTGAGACGAACCGAATTTGACAGTCGTTAAAACCCCGCACCCTCGAACCCTCGAACCCTCGAATCCTCGAACCTTGGAACCCCTAAGCCTGAGCTCTTCAGCAACTGTCACCACTCTTGGTCCCTCAACCCATACCCCCACACAGACATCCAAGCAGACCACCAAAAGCATCCGCATCATGGCCGCTGTCACCGAAAGCCAGATCGCCATCGTCAAGGCGACGGCCCCTGTGCTCCAAGAGCACGGCGTCACCATCACCACCGTCTTCTATGAGAACCTGCTCCGGGAAAACCCGGACCTCCACAATGTCTTTAGCAGCACTAGCCAGGTGACCGGCCGGCAACCGCGGGCCCTCGCCAGCGCCGTGCTGGGGTATGCCACATACATTGACGACCTCCCCAAGCTGAAGCATGCCGTCGAGCGCATCGCCCACAAGCACGTCTCGCTGCAGGTGACCCCCGCGCAGTACGACGTGGTCGGCAAGTACCTGATTCAGGCCATCGGGCAGGTCCTCGGCGATGCCGCCACACCCGAGATCGTCGATGCCTGGGTCGCCGCATACGGTGTGCTTGCTGGTGTGTTCATCAATCGCGAGGGCGAGATGTACAAGGCCAACGCGGCCGAGAACTGGGTCGGGTGGCGCAAGTTCCGCATCACGCGCAAGGTTCCAGAGAGCAACTCCATCACGAGCTTCTACCTCACCCCCGTCGACGCCGCCATCCCGCTGCCCACCTTCTTCCCGGGCCAGTACGTTAGCCTGCAGGTCTTCGTCCCGGAGCTGGGCTACCTCCAGAGCCGGCAGTACTCTTTGAGTGAGGGCCCCAACCCCAAGGGCGAGTACTACCGCATCAGCGTCAAGAAGGAGGAGGCCATCGCCGAGACCGGCGTCCCCGGCATCATATCCAACATGCTGCACGCCAAGTACGCCGTCGGCGACGAGGTCGAGCTCTCGCACCCGCAGGGCGAGTTCTACGTCGACCCGTCCGACACCACCAAGGAGGGCGTGCCCGCGGTGCTGATCTCGGCGGGCGTTGGCGCCACGCCGCTCAAATCTATCCTTGACAGCCTCACCACTAGCGCCGGGCGCCCGCGGCCGGCGGTCAAGCGGCCCGTGTCGTGGATCCACTCGGCGCGGTCGAGCGCGGCGCAGCCGTTCGGCGACGCGGTGCGGCAGATCTGCCGCGAGAACGAGAGCGTCTCGGCCAACGTGTTCCTGCGCAACCTGGACCCGGCCGACAAGGCCGGCGTGCACTACGAGTTCGGCGACATGCGCCTCGACCTCGCCAAGCTGGACCACGACCGCGACTTGTTCGTCGGGAACCCGGCTGCCGAGTACTTCATTTGCGGCCCGGAGCCCTTCATGATCGATGTGCGTTCGGCGTTGGCCGCCTTGGGCGTCGATCGGAGCCGCATCTTCCTCGAGTTGTTCGCTACTGGGGATGTTCCTGCGTGAGGTGGGAGCAGTGTTAGTTGGGACTTGGGAGGAGGATGGGGGAAAGAGGGAATGAATGGCTTAGCGGGATGGGAATTGGGATAACGGATTGGAGTTCTTTCGTCATTATTTCTTACTGTTTGTCGACGGATAACTTGGTAAGATAATTGGGATACTATGGGTGGGATTATGGATGGATGGAATCGAAGTATCATCTCTTCTCTAACAACAAGGTCGTTCCAGGCCGCACGTGTGTGACCCCGTCTCCCCCTCCAGGTTCTGGGGCGCTCGACCCTTTTGTAATGACACGAGGTGGCTGCCCAACGGTTAGTTCCGGGCACGCCTCCCATTCTCTATTCCCAATCGAGTACCGGCTGGTAGCATCTTGCCAAAACCCCGCTCCATCTTGTTGTTGTTCCTCCGCGGAGGATGCCAAGCCGTGACTGGCGGGATTCTGGGGCCGACCGGGTGCGGAAGCCGTTGTGTGGGTCGGGGCCAATCAGGGCGGGGGATATTTCAGGTTTGGGGCTGGCCGCTAACCCAGCTGGGTTCGCTGGGGTGACAGTGGGCAGCTGGGGTAGCCGTATCCGCAAGCTGCGCGCTGGCCGACGAGCTTGACAACCTCAAAAAGGGCCTTGCACGACTGCGGTTGCGGACTGAGTAGACTCGATCTGCGTTCATGAGGTATTTTGGAAAACGTGGTGAATGGTAAAAGTTGCAGCAAATAATGTAATAGGGCCACGCGCCAGTGCTGAACGCCATTTTCAACTCCCCCACCCCAACGATGCATCGTCCGGTGCCACCTGCCGCCTTGATCGAGGCGGCTGTCAATCTTCTTTTCGCCATTTTCGACCTTGTTATCCCGGAATCCTAGATACTCTTCGTGGGCAGCTGGTCGTCCTCTCATCGCATTCCAACATGGCGGAAAGCATCAGACCCCGGCATGGAATCCCAATCCTCAGGAAACTACCTACGCATGCCATTGACATGATTGTCGACATAGACTAGAGGCACGAAGAGAAAACCATTTGGAAGCCCAAAGTCTGCTTTTTATATGACTACTTCTTTTTTTTTTTAAATCTTTTCTTCTTTACCATGACTTTTCTCTCTTTTCTTACTTTCTTCTTTCTTTCGAGTTCAGCCTTTCTCAGCCAGGGGCGGCCGGTCGCAACAGGAGACCAGACCGAATCTCATCGGTCTTGGCACCCGAATCGACTGTGTTTGTTCAATTGTACTTTTGTGCTACGTCGTTTCTGTGTTTCGTCTCATCCTCATCTCGATTCGAGATCGCTGTCCCACCACGGCTGCAACGCATCTACATCACAGCGCTGGTCCACTTTCGATGGATCAACAGCCGGTGAATTGAGGTGGCGGGTAAGGAAAGGAGGGCTGAAGCCAGTCGGTGGATGCAGTCTGGGTTGTGAGTGAGTCTTCGAACAGTTGGATTCTGTACCGTGTGTAGAATAGGTGGCCAATGGAGAGTCACAGACTGTATGTACTATTTGCTTGTTATTCGTGGCGTGTGAGCTGGAACATTTTTGGTTTTTTGAGGCATTGCCCGTTGAACATCACTGGTGGCATCGACATGGATCTAGACGGTGACTGGGATGAAACAGTTAGAGATTCTACCGCTTTTTGCGAACACAATCTCAAGTTCTTTTTGTCAATTGAAGGTCCCCGGTTGGTCGAAGCATGCTGTGATTGCAATAATAGATGACTTAGAGGCTAAACAACGGGATTCAGTGCTGTCCGTAATCACAATGCAGGACGGAAGCCTAACGTTTCGTATCCGGATGCGCGGGGCGATGGTTCCTGGGTTTTGGGCCGGTCTGGTGACACGAGACGAGGCACGACATTTTGTGTAACATCGAGTGGTTTCCAGTGTAAGTCATTCCGAATCAATTTCTACTCGGAAAGTTTCGACTTGACATCACGTTGTGGTGATTGAACCACACCTGCACATGCTTGTTGCTTTTGGGCACACCAAAATATCTCTATACTGAGCTGGGACTCTCAACCAGTGGTGTCCTGTTTGGACCATTGCTGCTGGCGACTTTCGAAATGGTGTTGTGAAAGAAAATAATCCGTTCCGTCCAGCGGCTTGCCCCCTCCGCTTATCACACCCACCAGTTGGAAACCGGGGAAAGTTATTCCTGTAGTGAGCCTACCATGGACTAAAGATCTAGAATATCGTATGGTTTGTTTGATGCTGACCTTTTCATTTGGTTAAATAGACGGGCTATCCCATTCCGACGAATCCACGATTGAGGCACGTCCTTCTTGTGAGTATCTCCTGTAATATTCTCGTTTCCCGTTCGCTTGCTCTGGCGGTTGTTCTACGCCTCACAAGATGACGGCACCTCCAATCCCATGGAGCTGACACCCTGAGATTCACCCGAAACCTGCCACGGCGTGACCTTTGTACGAAACAGTGGGAAGGTGCGAGGTGAAGCGGCAAAGAGTTGCCCGGGTGGGAACGGCAGACAACGTCATTTGGCTACCACATAATTGGGGATTCACGTAGAAAACTCAAGATCCTGGAAGTTACGCCTCGTGGCTTAGGGGGTTTTGGTACCGGCGCGTGAGAAAGGGGCGAAAACACGTCTGAAGCGCTAGACGCATTGGCCAAGCTCTAAGGAACCCAGAAGTAAGCAAATTAAGAAGACAGGTGTGTGGGCATAGGGCTCAACAGCCCGTGTCACCACATGATGGCAATGGATCTCTCACATGTGGGCTTTTAGCCCGTGTATCAGGTAATTTCCAGTTTACTTACTCCCACAAACAGGTTTTTGTCCTACCCTAACAGTGTTCCTAATACGGTAATGCTCCTTCCTTTGAGGACTAATATTAAGACTTGTGAGGCTGTGACTCTTTGAAAATTTTGCTTAGGCCCAGTCTACTTGAACAGCATGGTAGTTCTCCATCACACATACGGCTCTCTCTCACATTGACTGCAACAAGTTTATCGCGATATATTGTGCTACGCACTACCGTCCTGTTTTTCCTGTCCTTTCCCTCGCTTCTCCCTCCGGCCGCACAGAAAAACGACCCAAACGTCTTTCGGCTAGGCTTCCTCTCCCTAGCGATGCCAAAGTGTCTATTGCGATACCTTTCCTTCTTTTGGTTTCGATTGTCAATTTAGAGGAATCAATCGCACTCACATTTACCGCTGTCTAGGGCGTCTTTTGTCCTCCAGCGAATACATTACTTCCTTTGGATCTCGCAGTTTGGGGCGTTTGCGCTTGTTTACCCCCGTTCGACCGGGCGACTGAATACATCATGTCATACAATAATATGGCGGAGCCAATTGCGGTTGTCGGGACAAGTTGTCGCTTTGCTGGCGATGCTACAACACCGTCGCGGCTGTGGCAGCTCCTGGTTAACCCTACCGACTTGAGTCGAGAAATCCCCCCTTCTCGCTTTAACATCAAGGTAAGTTACATCCCCATCTTCTGTACCACTTTACTTAATAGCGCTGACCTTTGACAGGCCTTTTATCACCCTGATGGAGAGCACCACGGCACGACCAACTCTCCCAAAGCCTACTTCATCGAGCAAGATCATCGCGTATTCGACGCTAGCTTCTTCAACATTTCCCCGAAGGAGGCCGAGGCCATTGACCCTCAGCAGCGCATGATGCTCGAGGTGGTGTACGAGGCTATGGAATCGGCTGGTTACACCCTCCAACAATGCTCTGGCGACAAGGTTGCCGTGTTTGCCGGCCTCATGACTGGCGACTATGACACACTCTCACAGCGGGACGAACTCGACACCAGCCAGTACTACGCCACTGGGAACGCTCGCTCAATCTTGTCAAATCGCATTTCATATTTCTTCAACTTCCAGGGACCCTCCATGACCATCGATACTGCCTGCTCATCCAGCCTCGTCGCACTTCACCAGGCTGTCTTGAGCTTACGTTCGGGTGAATCCAAGCTGGCTTGCGTCACCGGCGCGAATCTGATTCTCACTCCCGAGCAGTTTGTCGTCGAGTCGAGCTTACGTATGCTAAGCCCATCAGGTCACTGCCGCATGTGGGATGCCGGTGCTGATGGCTACGCTCGGGGCGAAGGCGTTGTCGCCATGTTCATCAAGACGTTGAGTCAAGCTCTCGCCGACGGCGATCACATTGAAGCTGTCATCCGCGGAACAGGCGTCAACTCGGACGGCCGTTCGCGTGGCATCACTATGCCAAATTGGGAAGCCCAATCCCGCTTGATTCAGGACACCTACCGGCGCGCTGGCCTAGACCCCAACAGCCCCAGGGATCGCTGTCAGTACTTCGAGGCTCATGGTACCGGAACTAGCGTCGGAGATCCTAACGAGGCACGCGCCATCGAAAACGCCTTTTTTAAGAACGGAAGGAAAGTCCCTTCTGACAACAAATTGCTCGTCGGTTCCATCAAGACCGTGATCGGCCACACTGAAGGCGCCGCTGGCCTCGCTGGTCTCCTGAAGGTGATTCAGAGCATACGCCACGGCTCGGTGCCGCCTAATCTCCACTTCGAAAGGCTCAACCCGGATGTTGAAAATTACTACGCCGACTTGCTCGTTCCTACTTCTGTCGTTCCCTGGCCAGCCGCTCCGGTCGGTCAGCCGAGGCGTGGAAGCGTCAACTCGTTCGGGTTTGGGGGCACGAATGCCCACGTTATTGTTGAGCAATATCTCCCTGAGGTGCATAGCCCGGCAGCCATGAAGTTGGGTCCCTTTCTTCAATTGCTTACACCTATCCAGTCTCAGCCCTGCGCAGAGAAAGGCCGAGTTTGTCTTCCTCTTGTTCTTTCAGCCCCTTCTCAGAGGTCTCTGGTTGCTGTCGTCAAGTCGTATCGCGACTATCTTGTGCGCCAAAATACTCTCAACATCGAAGAACTGGCCTGGCATAGTTATGCCCGACGGACAGCGTTCTCGTTCCGTCTCTCTGTCTCGAGTCTTTCCCCGGCCGGGCTTGTCGACAAGCTCGACTCTCTCCTTTCTAAAACTGAGACCTCGTCCGCCGTCACGCTCGGGATCCGTGTCCAGCCTCACGATGAGCAACCCAAGATTTTCGGCATCTTCACTGGCCAAGGTGCCCAATGGGCGACTATGTCGCGCGGCCTTTTGCTTTCTTATCGGCCCTTTGCCGATACCATCCGGTCTCTGGACATAATTCTCCAAACATGTCCTGATCCCCCTTCGTGGACGCTTGAGCAAGAGATCTTGGCCGATGAGCATATTTCCCGGGTGCAGATGGCATCCGTGTCACAATGTCTTTGCACTGCGATCCAGCTGGCTCAGATCGAGCTTCTCCGCCACCTCGGCATCACCTTTCACACAGTTGTGGGACACTCTTCCGGTGAAATCGCGGCGGCATATGCGGCCGGCAAGATCTCCATACGCGATGCCATCTTGATCTCCCACTATCGCGGTATGGGTGTGCACATGGCCCGCGGTGCCCACGGGGTCAAGGGTGCCATGTTGGCAGCCGGCTTGTCAAAAGAAGAGGGTGAAGAGTTCTGTGCAAGCCCGCAGTATTCCAACCGGCTTTGGGTCGCTGCCAGTAACGCACCATCCAGTATCACTCTCTCTGGAGACGTTGATGCTGTTCAAGAGGCGTGCAAAGATTTCGCCAGCAGTCAAAGGTTCGCTCGTCCTGTGTTTGTCGACACAGCGTACCATTCCCCTCACATGGTTTCTGCGTCTGTCGAGTACCTCAAAGCTTTGAAGACCTGTCGCATTGTTCCGACAAAAGGAAACGGAACCATGTGGATCTCGAGCGTTTACGGCACTGGCGAGCCGGGCCCTCTTGAGCTTACTGGCCCTTACTGGAAAGACAACCTGGTCAAGCCAGTCTTCTTTTATGAGGCCATCTCCACCGCACTCGAGACTCTTGGCCCCTTCGATGGCGCCATTGAGGTCGGGCCTCATCCAGCACTGATGAACCCTGTCACTCGGATCCTGAAAGCCAAGGACATGCCGCTCATGCCATACTCTGGCTTGCTCAAACGCAAGGTGGATGACCGTGAGGCGTTTGCAGATTTCCTCGGTTGGATGTGGACTAACTTTGGGTCCTCATCCTCTCAGATCCGTCAGTTTGTTTCCAGTTCCCTACAACCTCAACTCGTCAACGCCCGGCTTGCCGACCCGCCGATATACCCGTGGGATCACTCCCAGGTGTTTTATCGTGAGTCGCGGATTTCTCGTCAGTACCATTTCAAGTCTGACAAACCCCATGAGCTTCTCGGCGTCCGGACCCGTGATGACAACAAACATCAACTGAGGTGGCGCAACGTCCTCAAGTTTGACAAAATCCCGTGGGCTAAACATCACAGTTTTCAAGGCGAGGCCTTGCTGCCGGCATCAGCCTACATGGTCATGGCTTTGGATGCGTCCCGGGTCGCCCTGGCCGGCCGCCAGGCTTCAGTTGTTGAACTACGCGACCTGAAGTTCTTTAGCGGTGTCATCCTGGAGCCGAATGCGCCTGGCGTTGAGGTCTTATTCAACCTAACTATCGAACATGAATCTCGAGACACCATTGAGGCTACCTTCATGCTGACCTCTGCCATTGCAGACGGCCGGTCGGATATGAGGAAGAACATGAGCGGAAGGGTTACCATGACCCTTGGAGAGCCGTCCGCAGACGTTTTGCCATCCCGACCATTGGACCGGGCGGAGACGGTGCACGCCAACCCCAAAGGCTTTTACCACATGATGGCCGATACCGGGCTGGTTTACACTTCGCCGTTTAGGGGTTTGGAAACACTCGAGCGGCGGTACAATTTCGCTTCGGGCACCCTGAGGAAGTACCACAAGGAGGATACCACGTCCTTGAGCATCAGCCCGGCAACCCTGGACAGCTGCCTGCAAACCGCCTTCGTTACCATTTCTTCCCCCGGCGACAACACGATCTGGAACTCGTTTCTTCCGGTGGAGATTGAGTCTGTCCGCTTTAACATGTCCAACTGTGACATCAAGAACCCAAACGAGGACCGGCTCGCGGTCGACGCCTACATGACCAGGTCGATGCCCATCACCACACAAAACGCTGCATCCTTTACGGCGGACATTGAAATCTTCAACCCCAGCGGAGACATGGAGATTCAGGTACAAGGCTTGACTGTCGGCTCCCTTAGCTCGACAAAACCAGAGGACGATTATGAGCTCTATCTGACTACGAAGTTCGACGTTGACCCGGATGCCGAGATTTTCGCCGCGGAAACCATCGATCTGGAAGCGGCAAACCCGATGCTAGCTGAGAGCTGCGAACGGGTTGCCGCCTTCTACGTGAACCAAACACCTATCGCCAGGCCGCGTTCTCCCACACTGGGTTTGCTCCTCGAGCGGGCAGAGAATTTCTTCCCCCCAACCTCATGGCCTCGAGATACGGAGGAGACTCTGGATAAATTCGTTCAGTCTTCCCCGTACTTTGTTGCTCTTGATTTCATCCGCGAGTTGGGCAAGAACTTGCCGGAGGGCCTCGTGGGGATGCTACCAGCGATCGTGGAGGAGGCACATCATCTTGTAGGATTTCAGCGGCATGTTTCCCGAGTTGTTGGTCAGATCGCACACAAGTACCCGAGGATGAACGTTCTAGGACTCACGGATCCCGAGATGGGCTTGACAGAGCATATTCTAGGCGGTTTGAAGAGCTCCTTTGTCCGGTACCGGGCCGGCTCCGTTTTAGAGAGTAATCTCGACTCTCGGATCCCGCCTCATGAGAGTTCGCGCCGGAAGCTCATGGTGGACGAGCTCGATCTGAACGAAGGGAAGCTGGATGAGGGTGGCACGTACGACTTGGTGCTGCTCGCCACTTCGATCATTCAGCCACAGAAGACTGCGAGCACTCTTAAGCTGGTTCGACGGATGATGAGGCGAGGTGGCTTCTTGGTGCTTCTCAATGTATCTCGAAATCCGCTCAAGGACAGGATTCGGCGTCATGCTGGGGCCTCATCCGACACAAAATATCCGCTCTCACCACCCGACTGGCCTGACCTCCTTGACCAGTGCGGGTTTGGCTACTCGATGAAGAATGGTCACCAATACTACCCCCCTGGCCTCTCCATAATCGTTCGCCAAGCCGACTGTCCCCAGAAGCGCTTGATGCTGCATCCCTTCTCCGATCCACATCGAAATCATCTGACTGACCGCTTGCTGGTCATCGGTGGAAAGAAGGAGGAGACGGCCCTTATCTCAGCAGGCATCTACTCTCGTCTCACGGCCACCTGCGATGTAGTCGAACAGGCAGAGTCGCTCGAGGCGCTCGATCCTGCAATCGCCGCGTCTTTCTCAGCTGTGATTCTTCTGAATGACATGGACGAGCCCATTTTGGGGACCATGACGGACAAGCGGATGGAGATCCTTCGAGCTCTGTTTAGACCCGAGATGATAATCCTCTGGGTAACCCACAACGCCCGGTTCCACAATCCCGACCAGGCGGCCTCGTTTGGATTCACGCGCACTTTAATGGCCGAAACTCCCGGTCTGGCACTACAGATGCTCGATCTCGACACGACCGACACTGTACCGGCGGTCGAAGCAATCACAGAGACCTTCGCCCGGCTGACCAAGTATCGCCTGGCCAAGGACCCCGAGGGCACTAAGACACTGTGGGTTAACGAGCGAGAAATTTACCTGGAGAATGGGCGCCGTCTTGTTCCTCGGGTCGTGCCATGGAAAGAAGCCAACGGCAGGGTCAATGCGCCTCGCCGGGTTGTGACAAACAGTGTCAACACTCTAGAAAAGGTGGTGCATATTGTCCCAGCCAAACACGACGATGGCGACTCAGGTGGTTACGGGCTGGAGGTAAGCGAACTCCATAACTTTGAGACGGCTTCCAGTCCAAAGAAAAGATTTCAAGTCGACTACCAGCACTGTAGAGGCTGTGAATATCGGCTCACGCTCCTCCTATCTATGCATTGGACACGACATACACACCGGAGAAGCTGCACATTGCGGTATCAGACAGCAACACATCTTACATCGCCGTTCCGACCTCAAGTGTAAACACCATGGTCAACGCCACGTTGAACCAGCCCCTTTTTCTCGCATTCCTGGTTCGGTACCTTGTTGCACTCAATATTGCCAACGCAACACACGGCCAGTCAATCCTCCTGGTTGAACCGGATGCCATGTTTTACAATTGTCTCATTCAAATCCTCGGAAACTGCGGTACCCGCCTGCGCGCGTGCTCATCCGACGCAGCACTGTGCTCGAAAACACCTGGGGTTGTATATCTGCATCATCGTTCCTCCACGAGGGCGATAAAACCTGTTTATCCTCCCAGAGGGAGCATGGGTTCTCGACATGTCCGCAGGGTCCAGACAGAACTCTCTGACCTATTTCGTCCGGACGTTACCCAGAAATTGCACGTACGCCACCCATTCCTCAGTCCCGGCCTGTCCTCACAGCAACGTCGGGGGCAATAAATATGCGACAAGTTTGTGGGAGTACGCCGTAGCTCTTGCGCTTGCCGAGACGGCGGCTTCGCCGACGGATGTCGAGCCGGCTATCACTGCGGTTCCCGATCTGCTCCGGGCCAAGTCACCGCTACCGGCCTTTCAAACCATCAACTGGAAGGCCGAGCGTTCCGTATCACTTACCGTAAAACCTTTGGCGGTCACAAATGCGCTAAGCCCGACCAAAACGTATGTCTTAGCCGGTCTGACGCGTGACTTGGGTCAGAGCCTGTGTACTCTTTTTGTCGAACAGGGGGCGCGGCACATCGTACTTTGCAGCCGGAACCCGCCAGAAACGCAGCTCAAGTGGCAGGCCGAAATGATCGCCAACGGTATCACTATCCGCTTCGAGGCTCTCGACGTCACCAACCTCGGGGCAGTCATCTCGTTCAAGAAGAAGCTCGCCAAGACGCTGCCACCCGTGGGCGGCGTAGTTAACGGCGCCATGGTCCTCGACGACCGCGTCTTTTCCCAGATGTCGCTGGATACGCTGGACCGTGTCATGCGCCCCAAGACCGTCGGATCCAAGAACCTCGACCAGGTCTTCGACAGCCCTGACATGGACTTCTTCATCATGACATCCTCCTTTGCCGCCATCGGTGGCCACGCCGGACAATCCAACTACGCCGCCGCCAACATGTACATGAACGGGCTCGCGGCGTCTCGCCGGCGCCGCGGTCTCCCCGGCTCTGTCCTCAACATCGGCGTTATCTACGGCCTGGGCTTCCTGCACCGCGAAAGGGACGGCCTCTACTCGGGCCTCGAGCGCGAAGGCTACCCCCCAACCTCGGAGCGCGACCTGCACCACATGTTCACCGAGGCCATCGCGGCCGGCCACCCATCCAACCCTTCCCCCGTCTACGACATCACCACGGGCCTGCGCCGCTTCCCCGCGCACGACCCGACGCTCTCCTGGCACCACGACCCGCGCTTCTCGCACTTCACACGGCGTGACGACGACGGCAGCGGCACCGCCACGCCATACACCGCCGCCGCTGCTGCCGCCGAGGCTACCACGGCAGCCTGCAGCGCCCACCCACGGCCCCCGCACCACCACAAACAACAAAAACACCACACCCTGAGCTGCCAGGTCGACGCCGGCCACCACCCCCCGACGAAATCACCCACCTCCTCTCCACCGCACTGGTCGACCGCCTGCGCACGCAGCTCCAGCTCGGCCCGGCATCCAACAGCAACAACAACAACCACAACAACAACGACGACAACAGCGACGACGCGGCGGCGGCTTCGGTGACGCCGGAGCACAGCCCCGCGGAGCTGGGGGTGGACTCGCTCGCGGCGGTGGAGCTGCGGGCGTGGGCGTGGCGGGTGCTGGGGCTGGACGTGGCGGTGATGAAGATTACGAGTGGGGCGACGATTGCGAGACTGGCGAGGGATTTGGCCGGGGGGGTGGTGGAGGGGCGGGAGAAGAGGGTGAGGGATGAGGGGGGGGAGGGAGAGGGTGGCGAGGGGGGGGAGGGTGAGACTGAGAAGGGGGGGGTTACCAGGTAGGGGAGGGGGGTTGAGGTTGGGGTTGGGTTTCGGGTTGGCGGGGTGGGGGGTGGCGGGCGAGTGTC